CCATTCATTTCAGTTCTTCTTTTAGCTGATAAACCCACATATTCTTTAAGACAGTATCATCTGGGAGTGGAAGCAGTATAAAATTATCCTTCTTTTGTATTATTGCAATTATTATAACACATCTATACTGCATGAAAGAGATGCAAGGAACAGCCATCAATTCATCTGATGACATCACAAATTGCACTCCCCCGCATTGTTGCTGCTGAAACAGGAAAAAGATGGCTGCCAACAAAAAAGATGAAATGTAAAGTGCATTTTCTTGCAAGTGAAAAACTTTTTGATGGAAATAAGTGCATAACTGTTGTTCATTTGTTGTATAGATACTGTGATTTGATTATTGAAAAATCAAAAAAAAATCTTAGTTACCCTTTAAGGACATTACCCGTCTCGAGACAATCCAATGGCGTATGACTCGCTCCTCAGGACATACCCTCAACTATAGCGATCGTCTTATTTACCTTCAATTACTACCTCTAATGTATCATCATCAGTGATTTTAGGGATATATTGTTTAGGTGTCAAGTGTCTGCTGAGTCCACCTGACAACTCTGACATTCTTCAATATGTCCCCTTTTCCACCCATAGCACAAGAACAACTTCTGCTGGCAAATTGAAGGTGAACTTCCAGAGAACTTCTACCACGCACCACTTTTACTCTAACCATGTTGTGAGGCTATGGAACACTCCCCTCTCACTGCCTTGACCTCACTCTTACCTACAGCACTATCAAGAGGCGGCTGTATGCTCACTTCTGGGATAACTTTCTACTACATTTCTCACCCGATTCTCCTTGCATATTCCCCTACATTTGCCCCTGTACTTCCTGTCATCTCCAATAATCACTCATACAAACTCTTAATTCACTTATTCATTTACTTAAATTTATTCATTTATTTTATTTTACTTTATTTATTTTTTTCTGACTGCAACATATTTTGTTGCTGTCCTTCAGTACCCTCTGTCCTTTTTCTCTCGTCTCTGCCTATTTGTCTTATACTGTTAAGTTCATAATAATAATTAGAGGTGGGCGATACAATACCAAAGTACTCATATATCCGATACCAGGCCTCCGATACCAAGTACTCGATACCAAATCCTGGTATCGAGTAGTGAATAACCACACCCCACCACACCTATTTTATTACGTCATAATTATGGTCACACCCCTTAATAATTACAAAATGGCGGTTTATTTCTCTTCATTTTTATTAATAACTAGTTATAACTTAATTGCGCATGCGCAGTAGCTGACTACTCATTCACTACTCAATACCATCGATACTGAGACTCAGACTACTTGGTATTAGTATCAATTCAAAATTTCTGGTATCGCCCACCTCTAATAATAATAATAATAATAATAATAATAATAATAATAATAATAATAATAATAATATTTGTGTCTTATTGTATAATAATAATAATAATAATAATAATAATAATAATAAAAATAATAATAATAATAATAAATTCTAACTCTAACCTGTATAATTACTTTCGAAAGCCTAAGGTATTTCATATGATTATAATGGTTTCCAGTTTTACATTGGCATGTTTTGAGAAAAGGAAGAATACTGAAATAAATAGCATTCAAGTTTAAGAGTAAAAATGGACTGTATCATTAAAACTATAACACTTTCTGTACAATAGATAACACGAGTAGTGCGAGGGGTCCGCAACTCCAAATAATCCCGTACACCCTTGAAAATAATCTATAATAATCTGTTAATCTTTAAAATCTCCAGTAATCTCTGGAAATCCCAAAAAATCCTTGATAATCTTTAATAATCTCAAAATAATCTCACCATATCTGCTAGTATCCGGAGTTTATTAAAATTAATTAACCTTAATTAATAATTATTAATAGTTATAATGGTTAACTAACTTTAACTAATAAATATTAAAAGTTATAAAGTAGTTAATTAATGAATAATCTCTTTAAAAATCTCTGACAATCCCAAAAAAATTTTGGAAATCTCAAAAAAATCTCTGGTAATCTTCCAAATAATCTCAAATAATCTCTGATAATCTCAAAAATCTGGTTAATCTCTTAATCTCGTACACCTAAAATAGGAGTTGCGGACCCCTCGGAGTAGTGTAAGTTGAGACATTACGCTTCTTGATGCATCAGTTTTACTTAAATGAGAACAGTCCTTCGCCAGATATTGCTCCTGAAAGAAGTAAAAGTAGCGTGAAAATAGTGAGGAAACATTACGCTTCTTGATGCATCAGTTTTACTTAAATGAGAACAGTCCTTCGCCAGATATTGCTCCTGAAAGAAGGAAAAGTAGCGTGAAAATAGTGAATCGCATCTGTTTAGATGGAGGTTGGGCTACGCCCACGCACCATTTCCAATCCCTTTCATTTACTCTAATATCTATTATATTACTGTGTGAGGAGTGGACCAGCCCATTTAGGCCATTTTCGTAATAAATTGAAACAGGCTTGCCAAGACTGAAGACTCCAACTATACAACTACCTAAGCATAAATTAAGCTACCTTTATAGGGGATAAGTTGTATACCTGTTTGTGATGGGTGTGCCGAAGTTTTATCGTTGGATAAGTGAACGTTATCCTTGTCTTAGCCAAGTAGTGACGGATTATCAGGTACATACAGCTATTAATTGTAAAATTAGATTGTGTTTCTCAAAACCAGTGATAAAGCCTAGCTGACACTCTGACTGTGTTAGTAAGGGACTACTATTGCTGGAAAGATTTTAAAAACTAGCATGGAAATTTTGGAGGGAGTAAAACTTGGCAAATTGCTAAATTTTGGTGATTGGTCGATTTTAATTTGGCTAATTTGTGGCCACGTGCCATTGATCTTGCACATAATGGCTGAAAAAGGCAAATTTTTATATTTTGGTGAACGGCTATCAAAACGCCAATTTGCAAATTTAATTCCCTCCAAAATTTCCCACTATATAATACCTCTGTGTATAGACCAGTTTGTGCTATGTATATTCATAGAATTTTAAGTATATTCATTGTCATACCATAAAAGAAGTAAAATTCTCATACTGCCATGGCATTTTGGAGTCATAGTTTATTAAGATCAGAATAGACAAAGCAATATATTTGCTCCATATGTCTTAGTGGCACGTATTACAGAACAGTCAGTAAGCAGCAACAAGATTACTGTCACAAGTACATGTAAATACAGTAGTTTTTGGAGAATCAGCTCTTTTAAGATCGCTCCATAGACAAACATTGAAACTAGGACTCCGAAATGCTGGCAGGGGAATTTTACTTTATTTACAAATATACTTCAAAATTTTATGAATGCACACGTGCTTACTGCTTAGCACCAACTTGTCTGTAGATCCCATCGGTCCTAAGTGTATTTTCAATGAATTATGATTACACTAATTGTTCACATACATGTACATGTACAGCATCTGGCCATGATTAAATAGTTGATGGCAAGAAAGCCGTGATTAAAGTTGACAACAATACCTGGCCATTTTTTGAGCGCCACAAGGTACTACAGAGTTACAAGCAGCATTTATGAAAAGTGTGGAGGCAAGATTACATCATATAGATTGTGTACATGTACATGTACGTGTACATGTAACTCTTGTTGCTTTTTAGTTTTTGTTATGCTTCATTTTGGCACCGAAGTGTATGCCTTTGATAATGTGGATCACTTATTGTTGTCAGTGTCAGTGAAAATACAGTACACGTACATGTATGTCTTGGATGGCTACTCCTGACGATAGTAATGGGTGTACAGTTTTTATAGTTGGTTTGAGTTGAGAAGAAACCACCACCCTTCCCTTATAGCTTTTTTGTTACTAATGCTAGCAACTCAATGTTAGTGCCCTGTTGCTGCATAATAGGTTCTTCCAAAAATTGCTATTAATTTTTGAATTTATTCTGTACTGTGAAGGGTTCTAACTGGGTTCTTACACTTGAGATGAGAGGAAGCTGCCATCACAAATCGTGTGTGTAACTCTGATAAATATCATTTGCATCTTATTAAATTTAGTCAAAAAACAATGTTTATAATTTTTTAATAAAACAAAGCTTATCAAGCTCTCTAGACGTAATCTTCAACTATAAGCCTTTTCTTAAGGACAGATATGCTACATGTACATGTATGTCACTCCACAGTCTTCAGGATTGTTGTTGTTCTTTATTGCTCTTACACTCATTGATTCATCCATATTTGAGCTCTGTACCAGTTAAAAACAAGCAACAAACCAAGGAAAGGACAGATGGAGGTAGCAACAACCATGTAGATAGTAAAGTAAGTTAAAGGAGAAGAAATGCTTGACGAATGACTGAGCTTGCACTTTGCAGCCATACTTAGACGGGGCTACATGTAACGTTTTAATGACGAAAACATTGATTTGCTTTCGTTTCTTCTCAACTGAAACTGACTATACATGAAATTCTTGCTTTGCCAACATACAGTACATTCTACGTACATTGCATGTACATATAATATGCAGGTAAATGTACTTTGTGGACATAAATCAGAAATTTTATTTTACTATAAGTTTAAAGTGGCCAACAAAATTTAGCTTTTCACGACAAAATAATTAAATTACCTAGATGATTTTTATTCGTCTGCATGTGAAATTGAAATGATTCATCAAAGGTCTTAAGCTACATGTACATGTACATGGAGACACTGATGGAATTTTCTTCTTTCTCAAACAATTTCCATGGAATAACTGCATGTCCATCTTCATCAATTTTCATTTGAAGTAGCCATGTGTTTTAGAGTTGTGACATGCATCCAAAGTTTTTTGTGAAACTTAAACAGGTCAAACGATGACCTTAAAACGTTTTACACCATTATTTTAAACTTAATGCTCTTGCTACTTGTACTTACAGCAATAATGGCATGAGTATAATTTACATGTCTATTATACATCATGTACATGTAACAATAGATATGTACCAAACCAGTGCCATAACTTAATTGCAATTGCAACTTTACTATTTTTAACTGCATACACACATCTATTTTTAGATTCCTGAGTTTGACAATTTTTATCTTGACATGAATGGGATAATTCATTCTTGCTCACATCCTAATGACAATGATCCTTTGTTTCGTATCTCAGATGAAAAAATTTTTAGTGATATTTTTCATTACTTGGAAGTTTTGTTTCGTATAATTAAACCTCAAAAAGTATTGTTTATGGCCATTGATGGAGTAGCACCACGTGCTAAGATGAATCAACAAAGGGGGAGGAGATTTAGGTCGGCTAAAGAAGCGGAGGAGCAGATGAAAAAAGTACAGTATAGCATTCATATCATGTACATTGTAAATTACATCTACTTACTGTCTGTACAGCACATTGTTGCATACAATAATGTGCCTTGTGTATAGAGTCTTTAAAAATTGTGATTGACTCATCATTGGAGTCTCATGCCCATGCATCCATAACGTAAATAGAATGGATATTATGCAATTATGCTTTATGTATTTATATCATCTCCCTAGGCTATCATGAAAGGAGTTGATTTACCATCTGATGCCCGGTTTGACTCTAACTGTATCACTCCAGGTACACTGTTTATGGCAAGACTTAGTGACCACCTGAAATATTTCATTAACCAAAAGCTGTCTACTGATGAATCCTGGCAGAAAGTAGAAATTATTTTTTCTGGGCATGAAGTGAGTATTATGGTTATTGTTACTGAGTTTTATAATTTCTTGGATTACCATTGTACATGTATATTTAGTTTTGTTTCTGCATGCATGTACACGTACAATAATTGATGTGTTACTTAAATTTTAGTCAGCTGCATGCATGTACTTGTATATCTTACAAGTGCTATGTTACATGTACATGTACATGTGTATTCGCATTTTCTTAGCAAATTAAAGATTTTGAATGTCTAAAAATTTCTAACATAAGATGCTGTAGTATTGTTTATCAGTCCAATCTGCTTTACTGCTTGTGTATGGAAATGCTACTTTTAAACTATACATGTACATGCATGTACATGTGTATGCTATGTTACATGTATATGTGTATTCACATTTTCTTTGCAAATTAAAGATTTTGAATGTCTAAAAATTTGTAGCATGAGATACTACATGTATAGTATTAATTATCAGACCAATCTGCTTTACAGCTTATATATGGAAATGTTACTGTTTAACTGTACATGTACATAATACTGTACATACATGTATTAAGTATTTTAATGATAAAAATAATTAACAGCAGAATACATGTACAATGTGTGAATGCCTGCATAGTATGAACTTCAGAATTAAATTAATAAACTCTCCCAACTGAGAGAGCTTGCTCATGAGAGTTGAAGGAGTGGCAAGGATAATGATTGGATTATTGGCCCCACGGAGACACATGATAGAGCTCCTAAGAAGAGGTAATGAAATATGGGAACACGTCTAGTTAAGTACGATAGAATAGGGCTTGGAGTAACGGATAGAATGTCTGGATGGAAGATGTTTATTGGAAATAGTGGCTGTGGATCCATTCTTCCTACAGGGGTAAAGACTAGTGGTGTACATGTGTATAAGAGGCTAGAGGCAAGGTCAACATTGTGATTTTTGCTATATTAGTGTCTTTTATCCTTCTTGTTTCTCCTATAGCAGGCTTTAATAGATGGTTTATTTTATTTATAGGTGTTTTTAGAAAGGATTAAAGACATATTGATCTAAATGTAGAAAGGAATGTTGCCTAAGCATACACTGGACACAGCAATGTCAGTCCTGGCTATTATAGTCAGTAATGGCAGACTGCTATGAAATTTTTTTTCAGATAATGCTCGAAGTGATTTTTTTAACTTGAATGTCAGCCATTATGTCCCTGAGTTTATTACCGTATAGCAGGAAATTTTGTTGGGTAGTAATTTTCGTTTGTTTCGTTGGCCCAAAAATTTGAACGAAATTTTAAGACAATGAAAATTTAATCTAACTAAAATTTGACCCATGACAGATCCTTATTCACTACAGCCATGGCATAACAATCTGTGGCATTATCAGAATTGACACAAAAGGCAGTTCTTCTCCAACTGATGGGCTCCAAATGTCTTTGTAAATGTGGTAACCACGGTGAACGGTACGGAACCATAGGCATTCTTCCATCTTAAACCATACACGTGGTACTAATTGAATGGGCGTGGCTGTGAAAATTTATATTAGGCAAAACGAAAATAAAATCAACGAAAATATCCTGTAAAGCCTTCTTGGAAAGACAACGAAAGTTTCTGGCAATGAAAATTTCCTGCTATACGGTATGTCATACTTATAGAGATTGGAAGCCACAACATTTACAGTTAAATGCATGCTCAATTGACATACATGTACATGTACAGTAGTAGACCCACAAACACACGGAGTTGGACCAGTTGGTAAATGAGGAGGAGTCCAGCCATAGCAAAGACTTAAAGCATCACAGAAAGCACCTTTGTTTAGAACAAAGCCATGTTCTTTTATGGGTAGTGCGGTGAGCCAGGAGGACATACCAGGCTTATTAGCTACTTCTAGACAACTGAGGTGCAAGGAAATCAGTGATAGACTCATTTAGAGAAGAGATAGTAGAATTTAGTTTTTCCTTATGACTCTGTGTATCCTGACATTTTCTTCAGAAAATATCTGAAATGAAAGAAGAGACTGATACAGTAGAGGTTGGCTTGAATAGCATTAATGAGAGGAGAGAGGATAAATGAATCTGTAGCTTTTCTAGTTGGTTGTCCCACTCAATAATTGAATGGAGAATGTATTCACTAACTAATTCATCATATCAAATAGGGCTACCAAGATACATGTACACATGTGTCTGCACCCATTAAAGGTGATGTTCATGTTAGTGTCTTCAAATAGGGATTTTGCAGTTATGAGGAGATTAAATTTGACCACAATGACGTGTAACCAAGATTTGGATGGATTGGCAAAGTACATGTAACCATAATCATTACCATTAGACATAATTTTTTTTCTACCACTGATGCAAATATTTTAGTTTACCCAGTTCGCAGCATCATTAGCATGAGCACACCAAACCTGAGATGCAGAGAAATTGTTGAGATGATGAATCAGACGGAGAATACGAATGGGGTACATCACCATTTGCTAATCGATCTCCTTTAGTTGTGCCCTCAGCCAAGTACAAGATCTCACCACCAATAGACAGAGGAGCCTCAAGACGATAACAAATAATTTAAATCATATGGCATGAGGTGGACAAAATTATTGCATTATACATGTATATTAAGAATAGCTAGTTTACAGTTGAGTGAGTTGTATGCTTTAGAAGTTTCAACAAAGAGATCTCCTTCACTCTTAACTGACTAAAACATGCTCCTCACAGCATGAACTGCTTCCTTACAGCCTTCTGGTTGACCAGCGCATACTATAGTTGATTGATACCAGGAACCTCAAGGATATCCTCCCATACCATTAATATGACTGCCTTACCAACAATCCTTCAAACCACTTCAACAGTACCAATTGGATGTACCCGAGGAGCTTATTTGTGGCTATCATTCTGCTAGCCAAGAAGGTGTTGAGGCCACTATGGTCAACACAAGGGGTACTGATTATTCTACCAATAGGAGCGGGTGCAGGGCACAGGTCATTAGAAGTGCTGAATGAGGTGGAGAGATGCTTTCAAGCAGAAACATCAAGACCAGAAGGACGTGATGAACCACTTATCTGTAATACAATAGACCTGATTAGATCAGGTGTAATAGAATCAAATGTGATCAGATGGAATTCAGTTTGTGGGAAAAGACCAGATTATAGTGCAGATGGAGAAATGGGTTAACTGGGAGGTTGTTTTTCCTGTAGGATCTCTTTAACAGATTTGTCATTAATGATGGAATTTAGTGAAAGCACCCCACCTTTTTCATTATCAGATAGAAGACGTATAGCACTCCTACAAAGACTAGATTAACGAATTTCCATGCTAGTTAGGCTACTTGATAGTTGTACTTGATTCTTTTATAATGCTTTTTATGTACAGTACATATAAATCCATTTTAACATAGTAAAAGGTCCTTATGACCAATAATGGCACTGGGAACGGAGTTTTGCTGCAGTACAGCATTGGGTGCTTTGACTCCCCTCCGCTCATGTCATTTTTGGCCTTACAGCATTCTTTATTGTGCTATAACTAATGCAGATTGCTTTCTAAAGCTGTAAATTTTTTTTAGGTACCGGGAGAGGGAGAGCATAAAATTATGGATTTTATTCGATACAGCAAAGCTCAGCCTGATTATGATCCAAATACTCGACACTGTCTCTACGGTCTGGATGCAGATCTGGTAAGTGCTACATTGTAGGTAGTATTTGCCTTAAGTACATGTACATGTATACACATATGTTCATGTAAATGTACATTGTATTATTTTTGTAGTAGTGTATTTAAGTGTACTTGTGCAACTTGTAAATTTTATGGTTTACAGTTTCATGCTGTTTTACTGCTGGTAGGTAATGCAAATAGTTGTTTGTTCTGTATTAACTGTACTGTTCAGTGGTTCTTACTTCTTAGTAGTAGAGACATTCAGTACATGTACATGTAGCAATTGCAAACTTGAGCTTCTTTATTTACGTGTACATTGCCCATGTTCATGTATGGTTCATGTAACTACTTTTTGTAAAAAGTTTCATGGAGATTGATTGAGCTATGCCTACTGGGTATGACACAGTTGACCTTTGATTAATAATTGCAAAGTTCAATTGTATTCCATTGGTATCACATGACGCAAAGAAGCCACTAGTACCTATTCTAACAATAATTTGAAGCATCAAAACTGATTTGAAACTAGTGAGATCTATTTATTTGATGAAGTAAAGAAGAGGATTAAAGTAAAGATGTACTGTCTCTTTCTCCTTATATTCATGTCTATAAGCGAAGAAGGAATATTCTTTCTGAACTGGTTCTTACTAGGGCTGGGACAAGAGTCACTTTGCATCCTTCGAAGCTTCTACATAAATAAATTTGATGCCTTTGAAGGTTTATTGTGCTCACAAAAATAATTACCCCACCTCTGTTTATACTATCAAAGTCATATTGCAAAGCGGTAAGTTTTAGAGGGACTAAAATTTCGTGAATTGCTAAATTTTGGTGATTGGCAAATTTTAATTTGGCGAATTAGTGGACATGTGCCTTTGAGCATGCATATAATGGCTCAAAATGGTGGATTTTAATTTTGGCAAATGGTTATCAAAATACCAAATTCGCAAAATTTAATTCCCTCTAAAAATTCCTGCTCTATGGTAGTTCAGCCTACTATATGAACTTGTGGTCTAGGTAGGCTATCCCTATGTAAGTTTTAGGCCACATTAACTATTAATAACTACTAATAACGAGACACCAAATGTGCATGGCCTCGCCCCTAAAACTGTTTGGGAGGTATAAGGCTCACCTAGCCCAAGCCAGTATATTTATTGTATTTATACTTAATGCACTTTTATTTCAAAAACAACATAATGGGTTTCATTACTGAGAAACCATAGCTTTTGATGTGGCTACTATCGATCAAAAACAAAGACTACTATGCAAGCAATTGAGCCTGAGGCTGAGGGATTATCATAACAGCTAGCTTTCTAGCTGCAGTTACACTTCTTACTCTTGCATGCTTGTAGCTCCAAGCTTAGAGGGCATAGAGGCGTGGCATTAATTATCAATAATGCAGCAAGACCATGTGAGAAGCAAGCTTCATGTTTTTGTCTTCTTCTAAGTGCAATTATGATGTTATAATGGCAAAAATACTTTTGCCTAGATAGATTGAGCTTTTTAAGAGAGTTTAGGATCCTTAGACTTGTGAACTGCTGCTACAGCTTTTCACTCTGTATGAAATTCGAGTAGCTATAACTCACCAACAAAGAAGATTTAAAGAGTTCCACACATACAGTATTAAATGAGTAACTAGTCTTGATCTACTGGATAGAGTCTCATTTACTACCAGAGTACTGCCGCTATTCCTGGGAATTTTCTCTTGGGTTGAAAAGCTTGTATTACCTAGAGCTGCTCCCTAAACATCTCAAGGCAGTAAAACAAGACTTTTCCTAACAGAAGAGAAGCTCTCACTGATTTAGCTCACACGGTAGTAAAGATATAAATTCTCAAAGACAAAAGATAGCACATCGAATGAAAGACAGACAGAAGCAGAGCTGAGCGAGGCCAATGAAGCTTCCAAGGCTTATTTTCTCCTTCCAAAGGCAGCACTTTAAACGAATTAAGCTTTGAACCTTTGGATGCTTAGTCTCAGGCTCTCAGCCCTAGTTCTCACAGCCATCCACGATTGTCAAAGATCATTATAGTTTCTGCTGTACAAGCTAGTTTTGTCATAGTCATCAGACAGCTGCCATTTTGCATCATGTGATTACCAATAGAATGTAATTGAACTTTGCAATCAGTAATCAAAGGTCAACTGTGTCATACTTCCTCTAACTGTTACTGACGTTACAATTGACAATAAATTTTTAAAATCATCACAATATGCAGCCCCCATGGACTACCTAACACAAGCACATACATGTACATATTTTTTCATACTTTTGGTGCTTCTCATGAAGTTTAAGCCCACGAAATCATTTAAAGTGTAACTGACATGATTTTTGGGGTATTTTTTATTGACCTAACATGATTATATGATCATGAAAATGCTGTATGGAAAGTTTTATTGTCTGGAAAAAATTATTCACAGAGATATGAGCCTTCAAAGTTGCTCATTTTGCTTCCTGCCATTTTACATCCTGTCAGGGGGTGTGGCTAAACGTGATGTCATACAAGGCTAATGGTTGACTTTTACCATTGACTGTAATGTAACTTTAGTAGATAATATCTCTGTTAGATTTCATTTTATACCTTGTAGCTTTAATCCTGTGGTAAAAAAGGCAGATTGTGCTTATAATTCATAATAGTCAGAGGACATCTGAGTCATTATGGCTGGTATAGCTTGCAGCTCATAGCCTACTTTTGACAATCCATAATGAAGCTGTTCTTGTGTGGTTCATCAAATTTCATGTACTAATTTTCTTTACCAGTCTTAGAACACATGAATGAACTATTAAATATACAAAATACACAATGTACATATACATGTACATGTAACTGCATATTCTATCAGGACCAGACATGGAGTCAAATGCATTTATTGTATTTCATTGTGAGTGCAATTATGAGTAATAATATCAAATCCAAATACAATTGCAAATACCACTTTTAGTAATGTATTTAATTACATTGCAATTACAATTAAGAGTTGTAATTTAATTACTTAATGATTATTACATACAGCACTATGTTACTAATAAGCATTAGTTCTTCAAAGCATTTTTATCACACTGCCTATAGGTTTTCCTGCACTACACATACCCATAGGTACATGTGAGCATGTACATGTACATAATTATGAAGCCTACATGTGTTATATTTTGACAATTAACTGGTGACTTTTAAGGTAATTAAATACAATTGCAAATACACATGTACATCTTATTTTTGTTTATAAATACCATTGCGATTGCGATTACTCAAATATATGTATTTAAATGCTATTAATTACAATTTCAATGTATTTGACCCCAACCCTTATCAGGACCCATCTCTCATAATGCCTGATTAATTAATTATCAAAAAATAGTTTTTTCACTGAGCCCCACCTTATGACTTAAATGCAGTTACAAGTCTTTACACTTCGTTGAAGCCTCTACATCAAATTACCAATGTGAAAACTGTTCTGTTTGATTCATCAATATCAATGGGTTACTAATTTAATACGTTATTGTTCATTTTTCAGAATGTGCTAAGAATGGCACCTGTACTAAAATCTTGGACAAAATTTTCTGTTATTTTAACCAGACCTGGGGTCAATTACAATTGTAATTGTAATTAAAGGGTCAATTACAATTACATAATTGTAATTCTAATTGAGCTTCAACTTATGTAATTGAAATTTCAATTATATTTGAGTTAACTAACTACAGAATGTACAGATACACAAAGAAATGTTTTAATGTACTCTAGTGTCTATACATGTATGTGTATTTGACAACTGTAAAGAACCAAAAAACTATCTGGTGTAAATTTGGAGGCATATAAGCACTGCGAAGTACATGTACATGTATGTTGTTACAAGACATGTACATCAAATTATAATTGTACTTTGTAATTGAAAATGTAATTGCCATGGTGTAATTGTAATTAAGTCTTTTTACAAAAGGAGTGTTGTAATTAAATATGTCATTGTAATTGAGCTTTTGTAATTGATCCCAGGTCTGATTTTTACACAATTTTTTATTCTAAACACCAGGCAAACTGCTCAATCTTCATAATAGTTGTGGTGAAGGTCTGAACTAAAGTTTTCTTCTTCATTGATCATTCAGTTCCATACATGTACATGTACAATTTATTTTAAGTTTAGTATGTGTATTTTACTACATTACAACATTCATCTCCCTATTTACTTCAGATATGTACATGTACATGTAGTCTTGTACATGTACATGTACATGTACATTTGTGAAATTTTATTTGTAATCTTTCTATTTTTATTAGATTATGCTAGGCATGGCGACACATGAACCTCATTTCTCTCTTTTGAGAGAAGAAGTCAAGTTTGGAAAAAACCAAAAGAAGCAAGCTTCTGTTGACACCATTACTTTTCACCTTCTTCATCTATCTATTTTGAGGGAATATCTGTATTATGAGTTCTGTTCCATTAAGGTAATTTACAATGAACAGTATACTTCTGCATGATGGTTTACACTTCTGATGTGCTATTGTCATATTTATGATTGATTACAATGTACATGTGCAGTACTATGTACATTTAAGTGGCTACTCATAACTTAGTTAGTAAATAACTTATGATAATAGACTGGCATAATATAAACCTCTGACTATCGTTATCAAAATTAATTATAATCTTGTCTCTTTCTGAACTGTTGTATTGTCTTCGTCACTAGACTCACTATAGAATTAGGAATAGCTAGAGAGGGTTGGAATTTTCATTGATACAGTGTAGGCTTACACATACATGTAATGTGGCTACTTTTAAATTATGAATCAATGGAATTCAAACTAGGAAATTGCAAAAAGAACTTCTCTCCAAAGTAACTTGTGACCTTTTTTGCAAAAATATTTTACCTGATGAGTAAACCAGTATAATTATGCTTTTGCTCACTTTAAAAGTGTAATGTTACAGGTATTATGCTGTCTTACCACATGCATGGTCATATATCTTGGAAAGCACTGTTGATTTATAGTTATACAATTTATGTGCTCTGTACTTTACATGTGTGTGGCACTGCGAAAGGGCTTGTTGATATCATTTGTATGCTTATAATGTTTAGCAATTTATTGAGGGAAATCTTAACACTTTTATTAAATATACCGAGACTATTGTATACCAATTTAGTTTAACAGCAGAAAAATTTACAAATTTGGCATTCTTAAGATTTTACGGAATTAATTTTCATGAATACCTTGCAAACTGTACCATGTGCCATTGGAAATGCGGAGTTTGTTGTGCGAAACTATTTGATGGAGAAAAAACGAGGAAGTTTGCGATAGAGAAAAAAAACCGCAAAATTTGTGAAATATTTCACCTTAAAAATAAGCCAGTATACAGTACTTTATTTTATGAGGGGAGTTAAAATAAAGAAGGATTTTTTAAAAACCTGTGGACCAAACTACATGTATTTTTGTTCATTGCGGAATTGGTAATGTAGATACATGTACATGTAGACCAGTTGGCATTAAGTATATTCATAGAATTTGAAGTGTATTCATCGTGATTCCGTAAATAAAGTTAAATTTTCCTACTGCCATTTCTGAATCATAGTTTACTAAGAGTAGAATGGGAGAAAACAATACCTTCGCTTCTATATGCCCTAGTTGCACTTATTAAAGTTCATTAGCCAACTATAGACACTGGATGATGGTCAGTATGCAGTAGCAAGATTGCTGTCACAAATAAATACAGCAGTTCTTGGAGAATAAGCTCTTTTTATGATCACTCCATAGACAACCATTGCAACTGGGACTCCCAAATGACTGCTAGAAAATTTTACTTTATTTACGGTATCACAATGAATGTACTTAAAATTTTATGAATATGCTTAGCACCAGCTAGTCTATAGGTAGCAATAACCATGTTTTTCAAATAGTGCTTTGTTGACTATTAATTCTTTCTTTAGGATCACATACCATTTTCATTTGACCTAGAGGCCATAATAGATGACTGGATATTTATGGGTTTTATGGTAGGGAATGATTTTATACCACATTTACCAAATATGCATATTAAACAAGTGAGACATTTATTATAAAATTTTGTAGTTTAATGTGTGCACATGCCTAAGATTATTTATGTGATTTTTTAGGAGGTTCTTCCCTTTTTGTACAAAATTTATAAGGAAACCTTACCTAAATTAAATGGTATGTAAATAATTTTTGTTATTCTACTTTTATTTTGTGTACATGTACTTGTAAATGCTTTGTAAATATAATGACATTTTAAAGTGAATTTTGCTGCTCTTCTGGAGGAGTTCACATTTCATTTCATTACTTACTGTACACTGTAGGTTATATTAATGAAAATGGTAAGCTTAATATGGAAAGGGCTGAGGAATATTTCTCAGCTGTTGCTAAAGTAAGTTAAACACTAGACATGTATGGTAATGTGTTCATTTGATTGTTTCTCCTGTCATTGCTGTGTACTTTTTAATTTGTGAAGTTGTGTGTTATACATAATGGTACAGTGTGTATGTGCATGTAGTCAGTTTGTCAATTCTTTTTAACGGCATCACACTGTATTTTGTTTTCCAATTACTTTAGTTGTTAAATTAATTAGTTGTCTTTACCATATTTTTTGTATATCTCATATGTACAAAACATAAAAAATTTTAAAAAACAAGATTGAGTAGGATTCCGAACAACCAATGAAAATACGAAATGAAAATCCTACTCTCGTGATGCAAATTCTACTCTACATTGTACTTTTAATGTTATTATTTATAAGTTATGGATCACCTTGCAATGTAAAGTAGAATTTGTGTCATGAGAGTAGGCTTTTCATTTCGTTTTTTGTTGTTCGTTCGGAATCCTACTCAGTCTTGTTTTTTTTTAATTTTTTATGTTCTTGTTTCTGTTGATTTTTTATTTATTTATAATATTTCTTCAGTTACAATTGTGATACTTTTTGATTTTACACAAACAATAAGTTTCTTTGTTGTTGTCATTGTTATGATTTTACAGCATTTATGAGGGACAGCTCTGATTGAATTGAATAGATATGGTGAAGGAATATCTAGTATACTGATGACAAGTGAAATGAATACTATAGTCTTGACATGAATCCTTGTTGAAGAAGCTCTATCTTCCCAGCAATCCTGTAGCTATTTCTGCAGGTTCTTCCTGTTGTCAAGTTCATATTATCATTAGTATTATAACATTAATTAATTGTTTTGTGTTTTTGAAATAAAATAATTCATTACACACTTGATATATGCAAGATTAATGCCTCTCTTAGCTGGAAACCTCCACTAAGTATTGCAGTTTGATTCCAAACATAGCTAGCCTAGCTAGGTAAAAATAACTTGCTGTTCCCAGTTCTGAGATCTGAGCATGCGCGACCACGCCCAAATGTTGGAGTACATGCTTCTTTAATTAACAAAATGGCAGCATGAGGTAAGCTGGTGTGATCCAGCAGTCACAGTATCACTTCTTCCTTTCCTTAGAGAATGATTTTAGGGGACAAGGACCTGTGCATACCCTGTTGGAATAGAATGGTGTAAGAATTAGCCTTTTATCACCAGACAAGATCAAGATATCAACCGACAACTGGATTGACAGGACTAACTTGATGATGAAGATTAAAAAAGGTGGCTGAACAAAACGGCAGTTTGCCGTTTTTGTTTTTTTTTTCCTCCCAGAAAAGGTTTAGAGCCATGCTAGTGGTACCATTAGAATCCTCTGGTCAAGATAAGGTCCTCTAAGAAGTCTGGTAAACATAGGAGCTCATTTTCCCGGTATAACAAGGCTGCAAAAGTCGTGGCAACCATTTTGTTTCGGGGTGAATCCTACTTAGTAACGCTACCGCGTTACTAATGTACAAATATTCCTGTAGTTGTCCAGTCCTTTCATTGCCCATTCTATTCAGTATTAATGCATGTTGCAGTATATACACTAAATGTACATGTACATGTATGTAAAATACATAACTGAATTTAAACCTACCAATAGAAGTTGAATTCGCTTTTTCTACTTTAAGATGAGATAATTAAATAATACATGTACGTGTACATAAGATTACTATTGTTGTCTGTTGTTAATTGTTATTTTTTGCTAGGCCTTGGCGGATTATGCCAGCATAATTTTGAGCATAATAGGGCCCAAAAGCATAAGCATAATGTAAGCATAATAGGGCTATAAAAGAAAATTTTGAAAGAATACATTGAGAAATGCAATAAACAGGCACTTGCACTCAATAATTTTACTGTTTTTATATTTAAACAGCTACTATTGCTCACAATATACTTTAAGAACTTCATAATTGAATTACTGGGTCACATTTCTGGGTGGGGCTAAGTTATTATAATGAAATTCATAGGCATAATTGGGAGCATAATAGCTGATTGATAGAGCATAATAGAGCTGTTTCCTGAGAATTGCAGCATAGCATAATAGAGCAATTTTAGAGCATAATCCGCCAAACCCTATTTTTTGCTGCTCTATAACTTGCTGTTTTGTATGTACATGTATATGTATTTTTGTGTACATGTACATGTACATGTACATTTCACTGTTTCCTTAGTAATGCTCTTGTACTACTGTACATTTAGTTTGATGAAGACCATTTTTCTGATATCATTTCTGACATAAAGTGGATGGAGTCTAAGAAGCAAAAGCACAAACAAAGTAGTTCACCTGATGATACTTCTGCTCATAGTATGCCATTTTCTGGTACTGTAAATGAAACAGAAGTTGATGAGAAATTAAAGGTAATTTTTAAAAGATGTTTGAGACTCATGTACTCTATGTGTACATTTAACTTTTAATAGAGAGATCTTGGCATATCTGACCTTGAGGATTATTTTGAGAAAGAAGATATAGATGCATCTGATCAGTTTATGGCAGATTTCTCTTCCTTTAAAGCTCAGTACTATAGTGATAAATTTATGTTAACAGATGTGTCTACTCCTGCTATTAATGAAATAGCTAAGTGCTATGTTGTTGGTATTCAGTGGATATTGAGTTATTACTATACTGGGGTACCGTCATGGAGCTGGTATGAATTTTTAAATTACGATGTTTGTTGTTTATTTTTTGCAGGTTTTATCCTTATCATTATGCCCCATTTGTGTCAGATCTTAAAGTAGTTGGTGATATGACAATTGACTTTCAACTTGGTGTACCATTTCTTCCCTTTGAGCAGTTGCTTGCTGTTTTACCAGCAAATAGCAAATCCCTTTTGCCTGAAGCTTATCAGGTGCATACAGTTTCATGTTGTGCGGTTGTTCTGTCTTAGATATTTGTGTCATTGTGTTTTATTATCTTGTGTTCTTTGCCATAAAACTTACTTATTTTGTATTTCTACATGTAAAATAATATCCTGTATCATCAAAGAGTCTCTTGTTTTTACACTTTTATGTGTACATGTACATGTAATGTATATGTATTTGTATTGTTATAGTACAGTATTATTTTGACTAAAGTACAATGCACCCATGTTCATGTGCATGTACAGTAGTTCATTATTTTAATGTTTATAAATTTTTGTGTGGTTCATCATTATTCATTCTGTTCATTTGTTATAGAGTTTAATGGTGAACACTGATTCTCCATTACTTGATTTCTATCCTGCTAATTTTGACATTGATTTAAATGGAAAGCAACATGACTGGGAAGGTGTTGTATTGATTCCTTTTATTGATGAGGTAAATTGCATCTAAATATACCTTTACTATTTTAATGCCAACATTAATGATTTAGGAACGCCTACTTCATGCAATGAAGCCACTTAGTGCATACCTGAATGAGGATGAAATTAGAAGGAACTGTCATGGGTCTTGTTTTGTGTATCGTTATGTGAAAAGTGCTCCTTCATTAATTTATCCATCACCTTGGCCTACTAAATTTCCTGATATTCAAAATTGCAAAGCAAAGTAAATTTTGCTGCCTGCATTAGACATTACTTAATTTTTTATAGTACATGTAGTTCCACACTTTGGCATGTACATGATGTACAATATGGTATCTACATGTACATGCATGTACGTACAATATACATGTACAATGTACATTTACATAATAATATTAGACTTGTATTTTTGGTTGCTACAGTATTTTTCTTTTTTTGCTTATGTATACATGTAGGTGCTTGACATTATCCTCTACTGCTTATAAAGTTGAAGAATCAGAATTAGTCTTTGGCCTGTGTCCTTCTGTGAAGCTGGATGTATTTTTCCCTGGTTTTCCTACTCTAAAACATGTGAATCATGAGGTAATTTTGTGTATATGTACATGTTTATTTCATAGAATGAAATTTTTCTGTTCTTAGTACCTGTCTGTCCTATGATTTACATGTACTGTACATGTATTTGTACATATGTATATTTAAAATATAAATTGAAAGTTTTGCTATGCTGCATGTACAAAATTGCATTGTGCATACATGTACATGTACATGTACATGTAAAATTGCATGTTTGAACCCAATCATCTTGCATTATCTACCTATACATGTACATGTACCGTACATGTCTGTATATGTATAGAGGTAGCATTTATACCATAAGTTGGGTATAGTTTAAGTGATGGTGCTTCTGTGTAGGTGTATGAATTGTGCACTGTACTAAATTGTGGATGTGTGTATATTTACATCTGTCATTATTAATGTAATGAAATTTACAATGTGTGAAAGTTAAAACATGATTTTTTGTGATGCAAGACTGTTGTTTTTGCTTTTGTTATTTATCCTAATGTTTGATATATATGTACTCTAAGAAATTATAGGCTACCTGTTCCTAGTCCTACAGTAGCTGTTTCTTGTGTAGCCTACCTGAGCTAATTCTGAAATGTGAAAGGCAAACCACCCTGAATCAAGGAAGAGGAATTTCCCTTTCAGCCATAGATAACAGGCCAACTTAGAATTGTGTGCCCTTAACTGCTGACTTTCCATTTTTGTGGGAAAATAGGCCATGCAGTGGCTACTGTACAACTGTGAGAGTATTATCTAATGAAGAAAGTCAATGCCAAAGTACATGCACATATAGGACAGTAAGGATATCTATTGTACCTTCAAGTTTAAGGAATGAGGATAGTGTTTGTCCACTAGGTAGTAAAGGTTACTTTTTGCTTAACTAAATTAAAGACACTGGTTGTACTGTGAATACTGACATAAAGCATTAGCATAGCATAGCATTACATGACATTACATTACATTACATTGACATTACGTTAGCATTACATTAGCATTACATGACATACATGTAGCATTACATAAAGTAATGCTATGTATGTCTACAATGTGCATGTATTCTTTACTTGCAAATAGTGCTGGTACTGGTGGCTATCTGGCGCAAGTTGCAAAATTGGGCATTGTTACCATGGGAATGATGGGCCTTATTAAAACAATCAACAATGTTGAAATTTCGGAATTTATTGTCAGTGACTATGAAAATGAAAGGCATTCCAGTAGAATTGATTCTCAATTTGGATCCAAAGTTCCTGCAGGACTCCATTTGGATAGTGCAAAGGAATGAATCTCAGAGAGTGGCATTAACTGGTGCAAGTGGCAAGTGATAGGTTGTAGCTATTCTTTGTTTGATGCTATATTTTGAAGGCTGATGCCATCACTTGTTCTCTTAACCACTGGAGCACTGATGTGCCCATACATGCTGGAGTATCTTGAAAGCTAGACTCTGTACTTTACATTTATTCAAAGTACATGTAAAAGTCTTCAGCATAAAATATTTTGTTTTGTATTTTTATATCCATTGAAAATTATCCAATTTATAGTGTAGATGAACAAACACAAACATCAGCACTTCCTTGCCACACCTCTTCATTTCAAACAATTTTCTAGTTTTTAATGTACACATATTATAGGCACACTTGCATTTTATTTTCTTTTTAGGCTTTTTTTGAAAGCAGAGGTATTCGAGTTTTTCAGACCCTTAGCAGAGGAGAAAGTGTATGTCTTCGTGTAAAGCAAAATGCATCCACATTGAAGGTATGCAACTAATGTAAATGTACATGTACATGTACTTGTGTATTTATATTGTATGTACAGTACAGTGCTTTAAAAACGCTAAGTAGCTACTCCGCAGTTACTCGATCTACTGTTGCGTAGGTAGTTCAGTGCTCTTCGTTGCACATGCGCAATGTGACATTAGTAGTAGCGCACATGGTCAGTAGCTAACAGTGGCTTGGATGGTAGAATCGAGTGAAGACCGTCCTGAATGGGCTTCTAAAAGCAGAGAGCAGTAGTGGAGATGAACCTGGAGGGCACAAACAGCCAAGAGAATTTGCATCTTCAAGTCTTTTTAAAGCCTCTTGAGCGCATGAGTGCTTGCTACTATAGAACATGTGACTGGGCGGTACCACAGTACTTCCTCAGCGTAGTGCAGTGAAAAGTAACGAAGAGTAACAAAGTAAAATATCTACATGTACCTACAAAGTTCTTTTTTCTACTGTGCTCCACTTTTGCTACTTAGCTTTTTTTAAAGCACTCTATTGTACTTGTTGTAGGATGCAGTTGATATTGCTGAGGAACTCATTGGTCATGTTGTCTATGTGCGTTGGCCATATCTTATTGAGTCTAAAGTGTGTTCAGTCTCTGATGGGGAAGTTACTTATTATAATGATAAAATGAGACATAGTGGAAATAAAGGTCGAGTAGTGCAACGAGCTCTCACTGATGAAGATAAAAAACTTTGGAGGGATGCAATTGTCACTCTCAGTAAAGAGTAAGTACTGTATGTTGTAACTATAATTTGTTTAAACATGCAGTAGATATACAATTGTACATGTACAAGTACTTATACTTACATGTATTGGCCAAAATTTGTAATTTTTGTCAACTTGCTACCCTCAGTAAATCTCATATTTTTTGGGTACACTACAGTGTAGTGAGTGGCCATATACATGTACATGTAAATGTACGTGTATGTGTATTTTGATGAATTAAAGCAAAGTTCTGAGGTACACACGTATACATGTATGGTACATGTACCTTAGTATATGGTGTTTTATATTTTTTTGTTGCATATACATGTATTAAATGTTTTTGAGGTGAGCCTTACTGCTGTGCTGGCAAGTCATTTGTAAAGGGATACTGTAGCAGTTTACAGGAATTGCATGCAGGGCTGCCAATAGGGGGGCAGGTGGGGCATTTTGCCCCGGGCCCCCAATCAAATGGGGCCCCAAGCCCCTGGTCAGTAGTAAAGTATGCATAGTTTTGTACAGAAAAATATTAATGAATTATGACAACTCTTTTAAGTTAACTTTTGCTGGGCCATTTGTTAGTCACTATTATTAATAAGGAGTGGGGCCATTTGTATTAGTAGGGGCCCTATCAAAGCTTTTGCCCTGGGCCCTACGTAGCCTATGGTTGCATGGCTTCATTACTGTATTTCCTTAAATAAAAGCCCAGGTGCTCTTTCCTAAAATGGTATTTGGACCTCGAAAAAATATATAAAAAATAAAAAAACTTAGGCCCAGAGCGGGGTTCAAACGCGTGACTTCATGCTTTTGACTTCTGGAACTTTAGGCATTATCCACTAGACTACTGAGTCACTCCTGGGGTGATGTTGCATATTTATAGTTAAATTGTATTGCTACCCCGGCGTTTATTTGAATGCGGCTTCTATTTAAGGATTTACGGTACATGGATAGTTAATAAGCCTACATTGTGTATATTCTTCTACATACGTGTACATGTAGCAAGTACAATTATGTTCTGATTCTTCAGCTTTGAATGATGTCTTATTACCTGAGCAACGCATAGGTGTGAAGCAAGGTTTCACATTTTGCCACTCTGCTTGGGTGCTGGAAAGTCTTCATAATGTAATCCACCTTAGGGAAAAGTTGCATTTTTTGCCTTCACTCATTATTTACCTTCTCCAGTGCAGCAAGAACTATAACAATGCTGCTAAAATATGTAGTCTGAATGATGTCCATTTTCTTAAAGGTGAAAGCAAGTATGAGAATGAAACATATCACTAGTCATTTGTTTAGGCTCCAATTTAGAAGAAGTCTGAGACTAAAAAGTTATCATCATATGCTACTGTATGGTGCACCTTACTGGACCGTGCATCGTATGCTATACGTCACACTGCTTACTATTCACTGTAGCATACCCTTGTAACCACCTGCTTGTGTATCGTTTACTATTTTGTACATCTGTTAACTTAGTTGTTCTCTCCACTATATTAAAAGATAGACCAAAACTTTTCCTTCAGAATTAACACAAGTAATCACTGTAGCATTCTTCCTTTTAAAAACATGGCTTAAACATAGTTTTGCACTAGGTCTTTAAACAACAGGGACCTAATAACAGTTCGTATTCTACAAGTATAAAGCCTAAGAAATGTGCTTAACTGTGTAGAAGTGGAGAAAAACTAAAGCTTTTACCACCAGTGAGCTCATGTACAGCATTACTGTGTGGGTGGAGCATACTGTAGCTTAATTGAGCCACACCTTTACATTGCAGCTAATTTTTACTTGATCAATTAAAACTGTTATTTATAATACAGATTGTGGTTAGGGTATGTACAGTACATATAAAAAAAAGGCTAAGTACCTACCCCGCAGTTACTTTACTTTTGCGTAGGTAGTTCGTTGCTCCTTCTCTGCGCATGCTTACTGCGACAGTAGCAGGACAGTAGCGCGACAGTAGAAGACAGTAGCATGACAGTAGAATCGAGCAAAAACATCCTAAACAGGCTTCTAGAAGGAGAGAGTAGTATTATAGATGAACTTGGAGAGCACAGACAGCCAAAGAAGCATCCACAAGTTCTACTATAGTACATGTGACTAGGTGGGATTGCAGCATAACGCAGCAAAGAGTAATGAAGAGTAGCGAAGTAGTAGTGAAGTAGTAGCGAAGTACCTACGAACTACCTTCAAGGTTCTCTTCTCTACTGTACCCTACTTTGCCTTTTTTTGATGTGTACTGTACTTTAGTGCTCTTTTGTTTAAAATTAGGTGCTTGACTGTACTATTCCATTTCTAAAGGCTAGTTTGTTGAGAGTTCAGTCTGATTATGTTGCTATTTGCTCGAGGCCATATCTTTCAGAAATTAATGTGTTTTCCTTCTTTGTTCTTGAATAATGTTAAAATAAATGCTCAAAATACTTGCATTATTTCCATTATTTTTGAACAGAATATGGTTTTTGGTCCCTCATCACATTTTGTCAGAAAGTGTGCTGATATTTGTGTATAGTATCACTATCCTTGTAATCACATAATTTATCACCTCACTTATTTTTGAAAGTTTACTTTTTAACTGTATTGTATTTATTTTGCTCATAATTTTTATTGCTATTTACATTTTACTCGCTACATTATGTACCTGTGTCTAAAGTCTCCATTTACTGTATAGCAGAAAATCTTCGTGGCCCAAATATTTTGTGGATCTGTTCAAAAAATTAATTTTGTGGCTTTATTTTTTTGTGGTTTTCTACTTTTCGGCCATGTTGAACCATATTAAATCAATTTACGTGCATTTTATTTTTGTGGATTTAAAAAAAACGCAACATCCCCGAAAATTTTGGGCCATGAAAATTTTCCGCTATACGGTATTTACATTGTACTTGTAAATTAAACATTTAATTTATTAGGTCGAGTTCTAGACGAGGTATTGATATTGGTGATATACAGGTATTAGTATATGTTGAGGAGCTTCAAGGAAAGAGATATGTGTGTGATAAATCTGGTCCTAGAGGTATCATGTCACTAGAGAAGCAGTGGAGTGCTAGTTCTACACCTTACCCTTTGCAAACTATAGTAAGCTTATACAAATGTATGTAAAAATGTATATTTACTTGCACATGTGCTGCTTTTACATCTTATTATAGTGCAGTTGCTTTTATTGAGCTGCTACAATGCATTTGCATTTGCACAATTTTTTTCAACTTGTGTTTTTTACTTACATTTTTAAGGTTCGGAATATTACTGATTCTGCACCCGAATATTGTGATAAATTGAAGACACTTGATGAATTATTTGAAATTGGTACTCAGTGTTTCGTATTATATCCCCCTTATTATGGTGAACAGGCTGAAGTAACCGATAGAATTTTTTATGTAAAGGTATTATACAAATTGTGTTTTTAGATTGTGTCAGTAGATCTTAAACGCAACAAAATTGGTGTTCAATTTTCTTTAGTTACAGAACCTGACTTGTCCTTTGCTATTCGTAAGTTCTACCATCCATGCCTTTCAATATGCATCAATTAAATGTAGTTGTAAAATATTACTATATTATCAATGTTGTTGACAGAAAAGTTTCAGATTACACATACATGTACATGCATATCTGTACATCTATTTTTTGAGGAAAGAGGCCTGAGTTTTAATTGTTTCATTATTATACATGTAGTTTAGTTCTTGTGTTTTATCTGTTTCATTAAAGGTTTTCTTGTTTTTAGCAGTAATACTGCATATACCCATCATACAGTGTACTAGTATAATCACATGATAGCTATACAGATTTGACATGTGCAGCATTTTTGCATCTATATCTTAAACTGTAGTTGTTCCTGATTCCTGTATTGGTAATGCACAGTTTACAATATTTGTTGACTTGAGACAACCTAAGAAAAGCAGTATGAATTGATATTATGTAAAGTGCTTTGATGTACTGCAAAAGATATACATGTATATGTACATTTACAATGTACATGTACATGTACATGTACTATACACTGTGTACTTCTATTAGTTGTTTTAATGCAAATTTATATACATGTACATGTACACATGCAGGTAATTATGACAGACTGAATACTCAATATTGCTCCATTGGACAAATGGCTCAGAGGTTGAATCTAGATCCAGTTTTGGTGGCTCGTATTACCTCTTCAATATATTGTGAGAAAGGATCATCTGAAAAGTAAGCCTTTATTTCCTGTAATATGAAATTACTGAAAGTGTGCACTCATACATTTTTATTTTAATTTGATTTAGTACATTTGTGCTTGCTATATTATACTTTCTTTCCCTGTTTACTTTGTGTGTTATTCTATTCACCTAATCTGCATGTAATATACTGTGTACCATAAATGTATGCATGTACATGTACATGTACATACAGTACAGTATATCAGTAATATGGCAACTGATTTTGCCTGAGGCACAGCCAAATGTAGATGGTCCCATATTGGTGTTATTACATGTACATGTACATACGTGTACATGTACCTCGTATTCTTAAAGTAAGATCAAACCACAAATGGGCTACCAATGACTATTTAATCAGTATAATAACATTTAATCAGTAATAGCAACAACTGACAGTGTACACTCAGCTACAAAAGTCATTAAATTGTTCTTCAGACATACATTTATGTCACCAAGAACAGAAACGAAAGGCTTATAGTCCAGCAGTAAGGAGATGAAAAAAGCAGACATTTTCTTCACCATGTAGCTTTCTCAATATTATTATAGACACGCAGTGGTACATGCATGTACATGTATATATTTAATTGTAGTGTGTATGCATGTATGTGCATTATACATGTATCACTTTGATACAGCAACTATAGTATAGGTGTGTGTTTTCTTCATATGCCATACTTGTTGTCTTTTATGCATATACATGTACATGTAGCCTAACCTCAATTTTTCACTACCTTGATTTGATGACCACATGGTACCTTAATTTCCCTTTGTTAGAATATTCATTATTCATGTCATTAAATGTCTACTTTCAGCACAAAATACATGTACCTTGTGTAGCTGTGGAATACTGCTCATTAATGCCTTTTTCAAGTAACAAGGCTTGGGATTAGCCTCCTTACTGCACTTACTGATTTATTTACATTATTTTGTATCTCACATTATGTTTTCATTCATTTTCTAGCAAGAAGGAACGTGAACGAATTAATATAGGCCTAAATATGAAGTTTTCTACTCGCAACAAAGAGGTACACTGCATACATGTACATTTTACTGCATATTTACAGCAATTTTTGTGTATGCATTAGTTGGTTGGATATGCTAAAAGGACTAATAGAGGAACCTGGTTATTGTCACCATCTGCTGAGAGTATTTTAATTGAATATATGCAAAAGTGACTTCAATGCCTAATGTTGTCAATTATCATTGTTATAATACATTTTAGGTTTCCACTGATGTTTTCTGTGTTGAATAGTCACCCAAGAAATGACAAGTATTATGAGGCTGACCTATTCTCAGCTGATAATCCCAAGTATTTACAAGCATGCACGTTAAGTAATTTCAAAATATTTCATGTTCAAAACTTTGCCACGTGGCCATATATTTTTGCATGCATCCACATACTTCCAAAACAATTTGTATTATTATGTGTACACAAGAGCCCTGGTGTACTTGAATGCATGATGATGTCACTGAATGCCAATCAGCTATTGTATTTGTATTGTTAATTCTACTTCAGTCGTCTTAATCTAGATGTACACATGTACATCTATAGAACTATTGAAATGTTAAGTTGTGTCTTTTTGTTGATTGTGACAGACTGTGGCTATGATGTACCTCAGGAGTCCATGGACTCTTGTGTACCAACATGTATGCATGTACATGTACATGTGTTTAAGACCCTAAATAATTGTAGGAGTGACAGTATTTTTTGTGCATTAGCATATCTACGTACATGTATTTGATTCTTTAAAAACTATTCATTTATTTAGTGAATCAATAGCTTGTGTTAAAGAGTGGCTTAAGTCTCTTCCTATCAATGACCTAACTCCAGTGGAATGTGGTAGTGATACTCTTAATACTTTCCATATTGAAAACATTGAAAAATCAGTTAATTCTGTTAAGGTACATTATTAGCTATACAGCAATCTACTTACCTGTGCATGCATGTATGTGTACATGAACATACATGTATGCATGATCAATGTATTTTTTGATTATTTGATCTACAATTTTTAGGTTTTGAAATCAAAGAAGTTTCTTACATTGAAATACAATCCATCTCAACTTTACAAAGTAATCTTACATGTATTTGTAACTTTAAATTGTGTTGTTTTCCCTAATTGTCTCATCTTAGCCAGGTGATCACCAGGGAGGTTTGATACCAGACGAGCATTCTGATTATTACCTGTTTGATCGAGTAGTTAATGTTGCTAGTAATGGAGTGGTTCCTTTTGGTTTAAGGGGCACTGTGACTGGAATATCAGGAGGTATAATAAAAATTATTAACACTTGTGCACTTAGTCAGATACAATTTTTTTCTTTACACAATTTTATGAGTTTAACCTCATGAAGTTTATCAAATTCATTGTTTTATTTTATGTTCATATGATGTAATGTTGTTCTTATGCAGATGGAAAAGATAATAAGACATTGTATGAAGTCATTTTTGATGAGGAGTTTCTTGGAGGTTTATCACTTCGTTGTTCAGGTGCAAAAGCATATCATTTACCTCCTTCTTGCCTCTTAAATTTATCATATGGCAAAAGATGGGAAAATGAGAGTAAACCCATGGGTCATTCAACCAGCAGTTATACACACTCTAGTGGACCTGTTTCTGATAAACCTGTTATGCCTCCTAGTTACTCTGATGTAACTTCCTCTAAATCGAACCGAAGCAGGTCATATAATGAAGTCAAGCCATTTTCTCGTGCAAAAGATTTCGTTGGAACAAGAAGTATGGAAGGTAGAACTTTAGCATTAAGTTCTAGAAATGAAGGAAAGAAGATATTGGCTAAAAGAAAAGAAAACGTGACTAAAGGTAAATGGCATGTTCACAAACTACTTGTATGTGTACATGTGTATACATGTACTTCTCATTTGTATATTTTTGGATACTTTATAGCTTGAAATTTTCGTGGAGTGTGAATTTCGTGGTTTTCGTGGTTTTCGTGGTTATGGGCTGCCCAAGAATTTTAAACCCACGAAATCATTGAAGTGCCATCCCTTATAGGCTATGTAAACTGTCAACCATGAAAATTAAACCACAAATTGCCCCACTAGGAGCAATCTACGAAAATATCTGACCCACGAAAATATTAAGCTATATGGTACTTACACTTAAATACAGTATTACTATATATACATGTAGTTGCATACACTTTTCTACATGTACATGTGCTTGTTCCTATACCATAAATTTTACTTTCATTCATACCTATACAAATTTAGCTTCTGAATTCGATCTAATGAGGAAATCAATGGACAATCCAAGTTCTGCCCCTCGTTTAGTTACACCTCTTGAAATGTCTCGTCCTCCTCAACAATCTCTTGGCACTAATGTGCCTCATCCTGTCATGATTAATAATTTGTCTGACAAAGATTTAGAATTACACGGCAGTGCTATGACTACTAGTATAAATGATTCTAGTCCGGATATTTCTCCTCTAACCATTTCCGATCCAGCCCTAAGCAGTACATGTAATCAGGATTCTGCAACTAGTACTTCTTTATCGCCATCTGTGGCTGCTATATTTAACCTGAAAGAACTCAAAACAGTTCCGCTCTCATCAGACAAGTATCATAAGGAAGATACTGCTGAATGCACACCCTCTGTTACAAAGCATTCTGGTTTCATCAAGTTTTCATCTTCCTTTGCCCCTTCAGTTGCAGCTGTATTTGATGCAAGTGCTGAAGCTAATACCAGCCAAAATATACATGTACATGCATCAAAAAATCCAGTGTCATCTGGTTCTTCTAATGTTTCCACTTTTGCTCCATCAGTTGCTGCAGTTTTTGCTCATCATGAATCTGATAAAAATGATCCAGCAGTACCAACATTTTCTTCTGAAAAGAAACAGCAAGAAGTCAATCTAAAAAGCCTTTTAGGCATATCTCCTACACAGCAAATGCAGAAACCTTTTGCTCACTTCTCACAGACACAAAGTCAGCCAAAATTGCAACCACCCAGACCTAGAGGACCAAGTGGTGGTGTCTACTCATATCCCAATGGTCCAATCATGAGTACTGGTTTTCCTGTTACAGGCATATCGTCTCAGCATCCTCCAAGTATGCACTTGATCAGCGTATGCTCTATAATTGCATTTATTCCTTGTAGACCATTCTGTCAGGCCATATGTGCCATACAGGCCATATACTAATCCAATGGTGAGTATTGGGTGAAACTAGTAATTTTTTTTCCGATGTTTTACATTATGCCCCCATCACAGTTTCATGTGCCTCATTTCATTACTGGCACCTCATTTCATGCCATTAATTGTGAAGTTTAATATTTCGTATTTGCCTTTATGTGTACATGTATATTGTCTTATCTAATCAGGGCATGCATGCATTGAATGCTTTTTTTATAATTCAGGAATTACGTCCAGTATCTCATGCCTATCCTACAATGTGGCAGCATCCTCCATTACAACCTCCTTATTATTTTAAGGCACCACCTACAGTTCCAATAATTAATGCTCCACATCCACGTGGTCCTTCAATACCACCATATAGATCATCTCTAAATCCACATTCCATTCCTTTCACTCCACCACAGGTAATATTTTTTTAGTAGTGTGTTCGAGTCTTGTTGAGCTGTCAGTGTAATGATTGTTATTCCTGCAATACTACATATTGACTTTAATGGAATATTTTTAGTCACTATTACAGAAGTTCTTTTAATTACTTTAGGTCTTATTAAAACATGGCGCTAAGTTGTCATCTCATATTCCTTCTCAGGAAGATGAGGAACGCCCAATGACTCAACATTACAATACACCAAGTCGTGTAGAAGCAAAAGAAGTAGAGGCTATTGAGGCCACAATTTCATCTAAAGAGGAGACTCCACATGTGGTTGGCACTATAATTCCTGACATCTAAGCTATTGCAATTTTGCATATTAAGTATCACTTGATGTGATCTTCACTATTAAAAAAAATAATTATTTTCTTTATAATTAAGAATTAATTTTTGAAAACCACCTCTATTGAACATTGCACATAACTAACAATAATGTATAGGTATAAATTGTGCCTAGATCACTTAGGCTTATTTATGCATGACAGTTTATCCACAGTTGTGCTGCTCAAAATAATGACACAATTATTGAGTAACAACTTTTAAAATAAAGAATACACATTGTGACAAGTATAAGTACATGTCATTACAACTATAGCAAATAAAATATCAGGATTTATTATAGTTAACACTCTCATTCATAGAAACACAACATCACCAGTTAATAGCCCCTCGCTTCTTAAAAAATCCAAGATAACTCTGGTTATGGATCATAGCAGACACACCAAGATAATAATCAATCACGATATCCCCTTCGATTTTCTTGAATTCTGGTAAAGACGGAGGTGGCGATTCAGTAGTTTTTGCCTTCTCCCTAAACTCTAATATGGCACTTTCAATTGGATCAATTGCTGTGTCAAGCGTGAGCTTAGGATCTTGTATTTTCTTATTTATGACCAAAATGTGAGAGGCAAAAGTGACATAAGGAACAGAAGAGCTGACTGGATTCCATTTTGTCCAGAAGCTAATCGGCTCCTGTCCCCAAACTATCTTTAATCCTTTACCCTTCCTTGCACTAAAATAGTATCAAAAGCAATAATCATCAAAAATAATATTTCACTTACTAGCCATAAGAATATGTATATTTAAAATCTCCCACATGAATTTCCCTAATGTAGGCCAAAGGAATAAACTTAAGCTCGTCTACCAGTTGCTGAATGAAATTGTATTTAACAGAAATCAGATTATTATCTGTCAATACAACAATTCTTTCCTTCTCCAGGTCCCAGTGATCAATTCTAATGACAGATAACAATAATCAATATCAAAGAAGTAGGATGAGGAACTCATATGAAACCCCATTGCTTTCATTATTGTGCTACATGTACATGTGTACATTGTATATCTTTCATGTATTGTACATGTACATGTATGTCAGATACAGTACAAGACAAGTTAGACAACTACAACTCTTATGTAGTTGCGTGTACTACAGGAAAACAAAATGGTTGCATTTTAACCCTTTAACATCAAAATTAATTTTGATAAAAAATAATTTCTTGTTAGTACTAGTTCAGCAATGCATACATGTATCTCTCAAGATCTTGTCCAGCAAGACTTGAAGCTTGCTAGCAGCCTTTATGGCATGTTTATCCTTAGATAGAAGAAGTACATGTATATAGTAAATGAAGCAGCATAAAGCAATGGAGCGTCTATTGTGAAGATACTCACCGCTTTTTTTAACTACACAGACTTGGCGAAGCAAAAGAGAGAGTTCTATCACGTTCAGCAGGACCTGGTAAGCATGATATGAAGAATGAAGAGGCAGAAGTCAGTGGAGAACAGGCAGAAGTCAGTGGAGAAGATGCTTTGAGTAGAAACGCTACTGTGACTCGTCAAGGAGCCATGGTTGCCAAGCAAAATGTGGCCACACCCACCGCTTTTCTCCATTGAAATGTTAGGCAAAGCAGCTCTCTCGAGTCGCTTGCCTTTTCTTCTCATTTCTAGAGGATTTCACAAGCCAAAGGTAAGTCTAAACATTCTGTCTATTGTTGTTTTGTCATTTTCTAGGTTACTTACCTTGGCCACTGATCGTTTTCAACTGTCGGAGCCACGCTAGTGTACTTTTCTACCTATATACTGTGTTTTGAGTCTTTGACAATGTTATATATGTTAGAAAGATGAAAGGAGAAGTTACTTAAGCTTTCTAGAATGTTATATTGTCATGAATAAAAGAGAAAATAACAAAAAATGTATAATATACTACACCTATTCATGTTATTGACGTACAGGAAAGTCATTCAGCATTAAAGGGTTAACATAGATTATTCAATGTACAAGTACCTGAAGACTTCTCCAAAAAGTAAAAAAAAAGAATTAGATGGTAGAAACAACCTTAGCGAGTATAACAATGAATTTTAGCTATATGCATGCTTTAAAAACACTTTTACACTTGCAATACTCTTATTAAATGGATAACACAAACAGGCTGAAGCAGCAGTAATTAACAATGATTTTACAGTACATGTACTTACTCTGTCAGTAGCCAAGCCTTACGAATATTACTGTCATTTTCATCAAGTCGTGCTTTAATAGCAGAAACAGCTGCAACAAACATACTCTCATCCTACAGATAAACAATAACAAAAAAGAAATTGATACCAATTAATTTCAAAAATTATATAATTAATTACATATAATTTAATGATTGATATGCAGCTTGTTAACAAACAAGTGCATCAGAGTAATAAAAGCATAACAGGCCTGAAAATTAGCAGAAAGACACAAGAAATTGCTGAACTTCGTCAATTAACACCAGTGATCCCACTAAGCAATTATAATGACAGGAGATTTCGAGCATCTACTACTCAAAAAATGTAGAAGCACATGTAGTGCCTGTAATATAATTATTATGAAAAATGCACATTCATTTTATATTTGCAACATGTATACTTTTAAAATAAAAGCCTTTACATTATTGTATACACATATGTATAAATTATGACTTGTAAATCTCACACTAATCTTCAAGGATAATTTCACTGTTTTATCTTAAACCACACAAAAACAAGGATCATGTGTACATGAAAATGTAATATATGAAAAAAAATCATAACCAAAGCATAAATGTACATGTAGCTCCGAGAGGTGCTAAACTACAATAGAAAAGATATCGCCTATGGTCAGTATGGTGCGAGGGCTTGCCTAAGCGCTTCTCCATAGTGTGCTTCAATTTTGAAATTGACAGTAAAAAAGTTCAGTAAAAATTGTTTTATGATTATTTTCATTATCACAAAACCATCGATAGCGTTTATCTTTTCTCAATATATACATGTACACACTACCTTCTAATGCTTTTGGAGAAGCCTTAGACAGTGTTTCTTTGCATTCTCTTGCTGCTTGAAACCCAATAAAATCTGTCCCAATTTCCAAGCCTCGCTGTCTACTCTATCTATTCATCCTTATACAGGCAAAGTTCACTATAAGTTCTGTAAAAATTGTACACAAAGTGATTGGTAATTCTGGGCTATACTGGCCCCCAGGAAGAATAATAATTTACCAACGTTTTTCATCTAACCTATCTACTGTAACTAAGAGATTTTTATGCTGAATTGACTTGTCTTGGTCTCAGTCCTGTACATGCTACAGTTAGAAAGTTATAATTAAAAAAGAAGGACTACTAGTTGGGGCTATTCTAAACATGGCACCATGATGGACACAGATTTCTCATTCCTTTATCAAGAGCGGTAGAATAGCCCCATGACAAAGTATCCTAACTTACATATACTCTTACAATATAAATGAAAACCAAGGTACATGTACATGTATGTTTGATTAGATGTCAGCATAAATAATTCAAATTGCATGAAATACAGAGATGTAGTTTATTAATTTACTTAGGTGTCACATACAATATAGGCTTGTATAATGGACAAGCCCATGGCTACATCACGTGTAATTGTAATTTATACATACATGTACGTTGAAATTTTCAAGGTACAAAATTATGTTTTTTAAAAAAAAGTTCTCAAAAATTAGTCTATACATAGTATGTACATGTACATGTACTGAACAGCTCCAAATTTTTTGTTAGTCAAAAATTTTGTAAATAACTTAATTTTCTGTTAAAAATTGATTTTCGTGAATAAAAGTAATTTTTGTTACTTGTGTTATAAATCTTCATACTACCCACAAGGAACAAATAACTTTTGTTAGTCACAAAAAATGTTTGACAAATTTGAAGACATTTTTTGAATAACACGATACAAATTATGCACAATAGAATGGCATTGGTGGTGGTAAAAAAATCACGAAAATAACAAAAGCAACCGCAACCATATTAATTACCGTACAGCGAGAAATTTTGGAGGGAGTTAAATTTGGCAAATTTGACACTTTCTAGCCATTTGCCAAGATAAAAATCAGCCATTTCAAGCCATTATGCACATGTTCAATGGCATTAGTGATGAAACGAATAGTATTTTCCACTATTCGAATATTTTAACTATTATTGCTGAATGATTAAAAACTAGCTTTTTGGTATTAATCTCATCAAAATAATCCCAACAGGGCTTCTTAGAGATTGAGACCCACTTCCATGGCTATAGCATCAGTATTAAGCAAGTTGCTAACCAAAAAACTGACTAAGAAAGCCAAAGAATTATTGCAATAACCATTAATAATTCTATTCAAATAGCAAAAAAATATTCAAATATTGCTATAAAAATTATAAACAAACGAATATTCAAAAATCTCACTATTCGTTTCAGCACTAAATGGCATGTGGCCATACACTTGCAAAATAAAATTTGCCAATTACCAAAATTTAGCAATATGCCAAATTTAACTCCCTCCCAAATTTCCTGCTACACCTATACCGTATAGCAGGAAACTTTCATTTGGTGCTAATTTTCGTTTGTTTCGTTAGCCCAAATATTTGAACAAAATTTTAAGACAATGAAACTTTAATCTAACTAAAATTTGACCCATGGCAGATCTGTGGCTTCATCAGGATTGACACAAAAGGCAGTTCTTCTCCAACTGATGGACTCCAAATGTCTTTAAAAATGTGGTAACCATGGCGAACCATACGGAACCATAGACATACTTCCATCTTAAACCATACACGTGGTACTAATTAAATGGGTGTGGCAGTGAAGATTTATGTCAGGCAAAACGAAAATAAAGTCAACGAAAATATCTTGTAAAGCCTGCTTGGAAAGATAACAAAAGTTTCTGGCAATGAGAATTTCCTGCTATATGGTATTTTATCAATGAAATTGACCACAAGATCATTACAATATACCAAGAGTTGATAATTATTATCTATTCTTGAATATACATAACGATTGTGAAAATTATTGCCAAAATAAACTGCCAGAAAGCTCATTTAGCACATTTACCACCAGCATTAACCATGACAGTTAATATTAATTATACTACATATACAATAGCACTACATATACGATAATACATGCATAACAACAGTAAAAAATTAATACAACTAATAATCTGTCTCTTTCACCCAGAATGTCAATGTCAAAGAAGAAACAATGAATGTCATAGGAGTGGGGACATGCACAAAATTAATAAAAAATTAAGTTAATACCTCAGTCGAAAAAAACTGTTTATATTCAGGAAGAGAAGATACTTGCCACTCACTCATCATAGAGTTAAGACCTGGTATAGTTTCTGCTACAGGTTTGAGCACACTAGTCTCCTTTTCATCCGTAGCCTCGTCATTTGCGGCAGCAGTTGCACCCTCAGCAGTGGAAGTATTAGACGAAACGTCCAATACAGGAGGAGTCACGTTTGTATCAGAAGAAGCGTCCTCCAAAGAGATCTCGGTTGGAACTTCACTGTCAGCCATTACAAAAACAAGCGCCACTGCCAGTCATGAGTCATTCACGTGATGGGCGTGATGAGATTTTTTGTGGGCTGGGTTTCAGTGACAATTCTAATTCTCAATTTCTCATTCTGGGGATGGCGGTATAAAAGAGGTGGATACAACGAGTGATAAACAAACAAAGTTCAAAGTTGTGCTACTCCAAGTCTAAACGAAGTTCTAACATGAATTGTTCTTCCTTAACTCTTTCAAGAGATAGCTAATGTCAACAAGATCTAATCTTAGTGCCTTGTTAGTCCCAGTATTTTTGTTATGTTTATTTTACAAGATGACACAAACATTGTGTCGTACATGTCCCTTACAGTAACTTTCATTAATTTACTATTAAGAGTTTAATGGATGGACATATGTAATTGAAGGTGAACTTCCAATAGGTCTCTTACGCTATTCGCTGGGCCTAATGTTGTATATGTACATGTATGTACATGTACATGTACATTGAAACGGAATAGGATTTGGTACACTAGCTTAGTATCATAACTCATAATAGATCTGCCTTTGTGTGCATGTAACAATGCAGTGCCCATGTGCAAAGTCAACTGAGAGCTAAAATTATAATCATTCAATTATGTGTATTATACATGCACATGTAGTTTGTTTCCTTAATTAAGGTACTATTATGCATATGTTGTATGTACATGTATGTTAATCTTATTCTGTATTCAGTTTATTTTTGCAATGAAATATTTTGTAGTCTTGTTTCTGGCTGCATTACAGATATTTCCCAGTGCAAAATTCTGCATCTCAATTGCCAGTGTTGCAGTGTTTTCATAAAAATTAATTCCACAATATCTTAGAAATGCAACATTCCTGGAAATAAACAGCTAGAAATTTGTGTCCCTAAATTTTTGCAAATTTGCAAATTTTGAGAACAAAAAAATTTTTTTAAATATTAAAAAATTATAACCATGGCCATGGTGCATTCGCCACATGAGAAATTCCCTTTCCATTTGCAATGTTGCATTATATAATTTCTGACCCTTCATGTACAACACATACATGTATGTCAGTTTGGTACTTTCCAAGATTTGGCAAAGATTCCCAACTTTTGTACTAATGTGCAATTATTACAAAAATGGCCTGTAATAACCATTTACTCTCTGATATACTACTGTGCAAAGATTGTTCTTGCAATTAAGCCCAACTTTTGTACTAATGTATAATTATTACAAAAATGGCCTGTAATACCCATTTACTCTCTGATGTACTGTATAGAGCTGGGGTGAAGCTTTCAAAGGTTTGAAGCTTCATTCGAAGTGCTGCCATTCAAAGGAGACAATAAACCTTTGAAGCAAGTGTGCAATTAAACTTTCGAAGGCTTCTAATTTTTTATGTTGAAACTTGGAAAGTTGCAAAGTGACCTTCGTCCCAGCCCTGGTACTGTACACGAATTTGTTTGTTATTCATAGTACATTTAGATGTACAATGTACAATGTCAGTACAGTTGTTTTATACATGTAGCATGTACATGTACATGTATGTTTAACTTTCTAAATATTACGTCTCATCTCTTTACATTTGTATGTATGTCTTAATCAGTTTATATCGTTGTGTGTTTATTTTATGTGCTGTATGATTCAATTATGTAGTATCCCCGCCTTGCCATCTCATACTGATCTTCGTCAATTGACATCAACTGGTCTCTATTTGTCTGATCAGTTAAGCAGTGAAGGAGATGAAGACACATGGTCTGGTAGTGATACACCAACACCTCAGGTAGCTCCTAACCAATGGAGTGATGCTACGCTTACTGGAAGAAGTTCTTTTTGCTCTTGGGGAGAAGATGAAGGTGTAAGTTCAGTTACAATGTGTATGTACTGTAGTATTACACTCGTAATGCCAACAGTACCTACAGTAATAGGGCTGACACCATGTGTGTGCTATACTTGTTGCATACACATATGTACATGTACATGTATTGGTATGTGCATGCACATGTAATATAAGCTTTTTGTTTTTTGATGAGGGACAAACTTTGTTACTGTACTTTTTGATGTTTTATTGTTAAGTACTGATGTTTACCTGCACCTGCAGTTGTATTGCAACATGTGTGTACGTGTATATTTACTTCTACGGTGTACATGTACAATGTACATATTTATGTATACATGTACATGTATGTACATCTACACTGTACTTGCATACTGTCACAGCTATAGGCCTTCATTGCCTCTTTACTAATGATGGCTTGAAATTAAGAATGGCTTAGGAAAACTAAATAATTGGGGCGAGCCTAAGTGAGCCCCACATATGTATTATGTATGCACACGTAATACGGTATATGCTATGCATTAGCAAATCAGTTTTCAATATTTCATTAAAAGTGAGAGTGGTCGCAAAAAAATAAAATGGCGACCAACACACAGGAAGAAGTTATGAGTTTCCTAGCTGCAAAATAAGACAAGAGATTCTGTTTAAAGGCTTCTCCAACAGCCAGACAAGGTTATAGTAACTATTAAACTCATCCTTGTTGATATAATAGACTAACTTGACTCGTGCTACTGTCCAGTGTCCCAACTCCCAATTGAGCAAGGAAGGTTAAGAAAGCATCTTTATTCATAATGACTCCAATTAAGTGAATGTCAATCGCAGCCTGAACTAACTTGGACTACGTTGCTACAGTTGCCTATTTATAGCCATATTATTTCTGCAGTTACTGCTTTTATAGCTACATGTACATGTGTCTTTATTGCTTCCTAAATATTAAACTTTAACTTTAATGACAACTGAAGCCAGATCAAGAACCACACTCACTCCATCAAGTTCTGAGCTACATGTACTTAAGTTACACAATCATTCATGAGTGTTGCAGTCTGTCGAGATCTATTGTATGTACATTGCTTTGCTTGCGTATAGGTTCGCCCCTTTAATGTTTTACATTCGTCTAGTTTTTGTAAATATTCAGCAAAATTACTATTTTGAGAATTTTATGTGTGAATATTCTGTACTTGTATATGTATATTGTCTGACAAGAAGATCATTTAGTACATGTACAAAATATATGTACATGTGGCTGTGTGATTATGTAGTGTATATTTTTGTTTTTTTCATCATTTCAGGTTCTTGATCGTATTGCTGGTGAAACTGTGGGTCAAATGTTCGATGCTATTGATCGTGCTCTTTATGATGGTTGTCCCACTGGACAGGAACCTGTTGACAGAGAGTGTGCTGAATGGAGCACTAACTTTCCTCATTTCAGGTATTCGGATGCACACATTTGTGCACATTTACATGTACTTTAATGAGGTTGGCTAAAAAACAAATACACAATAGTAGATGCACACAACAAAAAAATTCACCTCGTGAATTTGTGTGTATAAATGTATACATGCATGCATGTACAAATTGTGTACATGTAGGTAAGATGCATGTACATGTATACTGTACATGTACTACATAATATGTGTAATTCTGGTCATCATTTGCAGGTTAACTGGTGTGCACTTGCTTGATTCATTAGATGATGGAACAGAGATTGTAGATCCTGTGATTACTGATGAAGACTCTTTATCTATCGATACTCCACTAGCAGTGGAAAATCAAAATTGTTTAGCCATTAGTGGCCAAAGGCTGAATGTTTTACCAGCTCCTCCTTGCACAACAGGTTCCCCTCCTAATGACAATCCTGGTCTTCATTATGAAGAAATTATTTTTTGTGATGGAATTGTTGAGGAATACTTTGCTTATAGTACTGAGTAAGTTTTGATTTCTACATGTAAAATGTACATTGTACTTGTACATACTGTATGTACATGTAACTTGAGCAGGTCCTACACCATGAAAAAATACAGATTTTGTCTTTTTGCATGTTGTATAGAAGATATACATGTACAATTTAATGGATTTCAAATAGTATTTTCTGCATTGCAGTCATGTTTTATGTACAACTATACTGTTAATACATGTACATGTACATTGTGTATATGCAACATTAAGAAATTTTCAACACATTTTACTTGTGTTTTAGTCCCAAACATGAGTTACACTCTGTAACTTGTTTTAAGTCATGTGCAAGTATGCATGTTTTTATTTGATTTTAACGTAAAAAGCAAAATTAAAATTTTTGTATAAACACAACAGTGTTATGTATGATAGATAATAAGGTCACCCTTCTATAGTGGCCCTGATTCCCTGTCCAAAAACAATTAGGTTTATAAAGTGTTGCAACTTACATGTACATGCACCCGTGTAATATGCCCCTGTCTAGTTTGTAAAGTGGGCACTTTTTTGTTATACCACCTATGGTGGCAATACCTCCCATTATGGCCTAAAGTCAACAGGAAACCCTCCCAGTCCCTTTATAATTAAAATAATTATTTTTGTCAAAAGTATAGTAAATTATTAATAATATCAAGTTGAATCATCTTAAATCAATTAAGTTAAATTAATAAGGTTATTCATTACTTTACTATTGACTACATACATGCACATGTACAGCATGTAATTTTTCAAAAACTGCATGAACATGTTTTCACTAATCTTTTACTAGCAATTTATTTTATGCATGTTTTTTGAAACTGGTACTTAATTTTTATGCACTTTTTTATAGATTTTTGAAGAAGTTAATTAAATGCATGTTTTATGCATCTTTGAAGTGAAACATACTTTCATGCACATGCATGTACATATGCATGCATATGTACTGTTTTATGAAATTGTGCATTATTGTAACATGCGTTTAAAATGTGCATGCTTTTTAATGGCAATAAGCATAAACATGATTATCATGTACTGTATATCCTTCTCATTAACGTAAGGTTCTCGATATTACATTTATGTGTTTTTAGTAGCTTTGTTTTTGTTATTTACATGTACATGTACACTTACATGTACATTACATTATTATACTTTCCTATTGTATAATGTTTAGTTCTAAAGAGGGGATTGAAGGTGCATCTCGTCGTCATCACTTGCATTATCTTCCACCAGTGACACCTAGTGAATGTATTCGTGATACTGTTATCAGTATTTTATTTGATCAATTGTGGAGTGAGGTACATGGTCATATAAATGCTTGCATGTATTAGTTGGTGCTTGTATTAATTCGTACATTGTACATGTACTTGATGTAATGAATACAGTGTTTGCAACTGTAAATATACATGTACATGTGGTGAGATGGATTACGCCCTTGCATTATGAGGTTCAGGACCAGTGTTCCATTGCAAAATTTCTACAGTGGCTATGAGTACACTTTTATTATAAATAGTAATTATAGTATAGACTACATGTCGTTTAATTTTTGATGGAGCACTGAAATTTTATTAGCCATTCTCTACCTGCATGAATTGCTTTTGTGAAGTGATTAATTATTGAAATAGCAAATTCATTTTAATGAATTAAGCATTTTTACAAAATTGCATGTCATTAAAATAAACTTAATTGGTACATGTACATGTACATGTGTGTGAATGGAGAAGCCTACTGTTTGATCATTATTTTTGTGACTTACAGTATACTTATACGTGTGACAGTTGATTACCATTTTTGATGGCAAGATTCAATGGAAAATGAATAAGGAAGCTATAAAGTACATTGTTAGAGAAAATTGTAGGTGATATCAATCAATATATTCTCATGGGTGTGCCTCATGTAAGTCTGGGCATTAAGTACAGCAGACATTCTTTCGAAGTTTTTGTTAAGCCAGTGGGCTGTTAGGCTCAGCAAGGAATCATTGCTAACAGAGGTACTCCATATATCAGTGGTAAAGCTGAACCACTTAATACCAGCTATTTCCTTCCTTATTTCTCTTTCAATGCCTTTATGAATCCTTGGCATTACTGTTTCTGTGAAGTGCATGTACTTATGACTTGGAAGGGAATATCTGCTTTCCATTGCTTTCAGTAAACGAACCAAATACCTACATGTACATCAGTGACTATTAAAAACGGCTGACTGTCAATAGAGACCATTTCACTAACTTGTTAATGAATATGCTGCACGCGATGGTTATTGATATCCCAGACATGCCAGAACTCAATACTCGACTCTAGTGATAACTGATTAGTCTTGGGGAGTACTGACTGTCCTGTTGCAGGTACATGTTTCTTTTCTGCTTCGTACTTCTTAAACTGCTTTAATGCTTCATTCGTAAATGAAACAAAAGATTGCTGGTATCATAACTTTTTGTACTTCTACCACCACGAGAAATACATATATAAGCACTGCACTCATTACAGATAGTAATGCATGTATCTTCTCCTACAGAGAAATAGGCACAAAGAATAGAGGTCTTGTATTTCCAGCTGCCATTTTGAACATGTGTCATAGTGCTGCACATGTGCGCATGTGCATAGTTATCAATATTGGTAGTACCCTATCCTGAGTTAAGGATAGTTGCCTATCCTAAGTTAAGGATAGTTGCATATCCTTAGTTATCAATATCAAACCCTATCTGAATCCCCTCCAGAGTCCCTCTATAGTAAACTGGACAAAGCCCCTGTCTGGGTGGCTCTCCGGCATTGACTCCCACTGCCCCACATTAATGGAGGACTACAATGTCATCAATACTGAAGGCTCTGGACCCCTTGGAACACAGGACCCCAGTTGGAGCAGGTGTTAAATGTGCTTATAGTGAGTACCTACTAACTGGGCATTGGCATGGCCCATCAATTCATTCCTTAGACCTACAATTAAAAAAGAGGGCACTTCAACAAATAAAGCTTACCTAAGCTACGTTCTACAGCTAGGGCTCAACAACTTGTCACTCATCTCTCACTCGGTGAGTACCACTAGACACACCATTGGCAAGCAGTTGCAGAACGAGAGAAAATGACAGATCCCCCCCTTAAAGCTCTCCTAATTATCATTCCATTATGAACCCCACACAGGGCAGCCCCTCTTTGGCAGGTGTGCTGTGGTGTGGTGTGCTTCAATTTACTTACCATCCGTGCTGGTGTTGTAGTCATGGTTTCTGTTACTGCATGGGGGCCCCTGGTGGCTAAAGCAGCTCATATTGTGTCCATGATTTGCTTTACTGCCGCTAGAGACAGCAGGTGCTCCCTTGTATTGTCCTTTCATTCCCTGCCACCACCAGGGCGTTTTTCTCCCGCTCATCGGCCATTAACATCTCACCAAAGCAATAGATTAGCTTTCTCAAAGATCTTTGATCCACCAAGAGTGTGAAGACTTACATGTAATTGCTGCCTATTGTGCATGTGCACTAGTGCAACTTCACCCCTAGTTAATCTTGTTTAACCGTTGCACAATGAACGTGGTTGAGCCAGTAGGTTTGTGTTGGCTTGGTTGGGAAGGCGTGGGACTGGTTGTGGATGTTGATGTGGAGGGTTGGATTGTATTTGTTGCTGCTGCTCCCATCCCCTTTCACCAAATGAGCCAAGCTATTATAGTCTGGTCCCTGATAATCAGCACCATATGGAAATGAGAAGGGTGATGATCCATAATAAAAATCAGCTGGAAGTATATTTTTACACTATGGCCCTGTAGTGAGTTGCCCAAATCAAAAAGTTTTGTTGGTATCCTGCTGTGTCCTCCAGGTTATAGCTGTAATACTATAGTTTTGCAGCTCAGATGTACCAATTAAAAATGTGAAAGAGTGTGTATGATGAAGTGTTTTTATGTGGCCTTTTTAACATTTTTTACTAACCTGTCAATGAGTTTGGAGTAAAAGTGAAGCATTTGTCAAGCCAAGTATTTAATCCTTCTGCCCTTTTTCTCCTTCTGGCGTTGCCAAACCAGTTCCAAACTTGGATCAAGGTCTTGCCAGAATGGTAAGCCAGGTCTCCTGTGGATTTGAATATAGAATGTAGCTTCTCTTGATCTAGGGCTGTGAGGTATTAAATAAAATGACACCTCAGTACAGTATTGACAAAATACCCCAGTATTACTAAATATAGTGAACTAGTAAAATAATTTATATTAGTCTTTTAACTTTGAACTTGTTAGCATGTACTGTACTTAAGTGATTTTAAAGTTCAAGGTTTGCTGAAAGAAAAACTAGCTGCTGTGGCTCTAATTAGTGTCACAATTCTGCCACTCCTACTGAATGCTATCACATCATCAACAACCTTGCCTTATGTGTCCTTTCTGAGACCAAAGAACTTCCATACTTCACCGTTTGTACCATTATTTATGGTATCTAATTACGGTATTGATGGTATACCTCGGTTTTAGTAGTTGATACTATATTTAAAACCTTTGGAACTTATATATATACATGTACCTTCTATATCTAAAAGTAATACCTCGGTATATAGAAATGTAGGTATACCTCACAGCCCTATCTTGATCCTCTTGCCACTTGACCAAAACTGCTGTATTTTTATAACCTGTGATCCTGTTTTGGTATATAATCCCCCAACAGCCTGGGATCTCAAGTATAGGTATGCCAAGACTACTGGTAGGTGAGCTAAACTGTGACATTTTTGCTTGTTAATGTCTCTTGATCCTGGTTACGGTTACGTTGCTGCCTTAGATTGCTGCACACGTTATTCCTCGTGATCTATTGTGGGAGGGGAGGGCCTAACACTAACTGTGTCCTCAAGTTCTTAACTTCTTATCCAGTAAGTGATAAAAATAAAAATAATAGTTAATATTTTTATGAGTTACTTTTTTCTTGACTGGATCCACGTCCTTCATGTACCGTAAAGCGGAAAATTTGGGCCCAAGCCAACAAGTTTGTTGTTATCCTGCTAAATGGGCTGTGTCCTCTAGGCTATATAGTAGGCTTACAGCTCATGCAGATGCACCAATTAAGAATGTATAGAGTGTGTAGTATAATTATAGTAAGTGTGTGTTATGTGGGGAGTGAGATACATTCTTCAAAGCTGCTGTGTTTTTTATTTGTCTTGAAACCCGCGATCCTGTTGCAGAGTATGATCTTCCTGCAGCCTGGGACCATGAGTATCTAGCTGCACCTAAGTATACACTTTGAACAAGCCTTAAAGCTGCTGTCTTCTTCAGTGTGGTTGAGCTGTGACATTTCTGCCTGTATGGTTGTCTGAGTTGCTGCCTTAGATTACTGCAACGTTATTCCTCATGATTGACCTTATGTGGAAGAGGAAGGACATGGGACTAGTTATTGTGTATTCTAAAAATGTACATTGTATGTTCTTATCCAGTAGTGATACAAATAATAATATTTAATATCATTTTCAAGAAATTAAGTGTGAGCCACTTGAGTTTTTTTTTTTGAGTGGATCCACTTCCCTTCATATAAGTTGATGTCTTTCTTGCTACCTACATGTATTACAGAAAAATGAGGTGTTGCATTGAAACACAAAATTTTCAAGCAAAACAAGAAAGCAACACTAAAATAAAATGTGTTAAGGTTGTAAAAACATGAGTTGCCTATTCTTATCATGTTTATCATCACTTGACTAAATTAGTAATGTGTATACATGTATATCATCACGAAACATAAAAAGTTTTGATTTTTGTACACAAGATGTTCCTACCAGAGCAGGAAGCCACATGCATGTACTCCTTTTCCTACTTGGTAGGGTATGGATGAGATTGGTGGGCCTCTATCCATTTCACCAGGACTCTGGTATCCTTCGCTGGCCTCCAATATGCTGGTGAGTGCAACTACACATGAACTGTAGCTTCCACACTAATGCTCATCACATTGCTCACTCCTAACTTTGCTCATTCCTTACTTCCTGACAAAGTAAGAGAGCCAGAAGTTAAGAGAATTATAAGTAATTTACAAAGTGGTGTCACTCTATCTTCAGTTACTCTGTTTTGTGCCCTGAGATTCCATAGGTTCGCTACCCATTCTGTCATACTGGCTGTTGTTCTTGTCATTTTGTTTTGTTCATTTTGTTGTTCATCGCTCACCAAATCTTTTAGTGGTAGCAGTAAGACTGAGAGCTTTCAACTGCTAGTTTGTCTGTCCTTACTAAAAAATCCTCATGCATCTGGGATGCTCGTGGCAAAAAAAGATCAGTTGCTTCATTATTGTTACCTTTTTAACATTTTTCTTACACGTTCATGCTTTATGAATAATTTATTGCTGTCTGCACTACTATTTTCTGCATATAGCTTCCCTTCCAAACGAATCATCATTTTTGCATGCTCCAAAATAGTTGCAACCTGATGGCTCACTTGAGCAAAATTATTTGAGTATTGCCACACTCAGTGTTCCTGAGAATATTGATCGTTTTTTAAGTGCTCCACTTTGTTTTTAAACTTTACTAGTTTGCTGAGACTGCTCTACTTCCTTTTGTGTCAGTTGCTACATGCATCTTTGTGAACTCTGGGATAATGAAAGAAACTTCGTAACAAGCAATGTTATCACCAATAGTAAATCCCTTTTCAGCCAGTACTTGGTCACCAGGTTTAAAAATTACTTTACTGAGTCATATTTCTATTAGAATTGCATCCACCCCAGCATTGGAACTAGAGCAAAATTGTACCACATCTTATTATACCAATCAAAAATTTGGCGGTATTGTGCTTTTTATAATTTGAGTAAGTTTTGGCACAGCATCAAAACTTAAGGGATTTCAGTAAATAGTTTTGAACAATCAATGATCATGCACTTGGCAATTTGGAAATGTCTGCTTAAGAGGTAGTGGCATATATTCATTGTAACACTTCTCGTTGTGCATACAAAGTTATAAGAATATTGACCAGGTGGGAATCAGTTTGATTACACTGATTGATGTGCATACAATGAAGTAGATCAGGATATGAGCTACATCAATCTCTGTGTTGCTCAAAGTGTATCAGTTTCTCTCTCAGCAGTGTCAAACTCAGCAGCAATTGCATCAGTCACTACGTCTGATATATCCATGTGTGACAATAAAATACATGTAGCTAATGACAGTCTTTGGTGGTAACATTGTAGTTTTAAGAACTGTCGCTAGAGTTTTAGACTTGCATGTATGATCTCAAGGGAAAAGGAATGTAGTCAAAATGAGTTGGAACAATCTTAAGTTCTCCTAAGGTTGATGAAATAAGTGGGTGGTTGGGCTAATTTAAAAAATGTCTTACCATTATTAAAATGCTCATTACATATTCTGTAGCTATTTCTTGGCTGCCAGTGCTCTTGTCTTACAACTGCTGTCCATTTTTACACCGCTCCTAATCATTTAGAAGGAATTTAAATAACTTAATCCCTTTTTCTTGCTCAACCAGTTTTTGTATCTCGCTACACAACAGTTTTTAGGCATTTCCACAATAGACATAACTATAATCTCCCTCTATTTGGTATAACCTGACTGCAACCTTTTGTGAATACAATTTAGATCTTATTAACATTCAACCACTTGCATGTCTTAAAAAGCTCTGTGGAAAAAAAAATTCCTCATTTTTAAATACTTTGTCAAGAAGCATCTGTTTTATTATTTGTGTATTCATGAACATTGGCTAGCTGATACATGTACTGTAGATGTTTCAGGACCTCTGACTCTACTGCAAAAAAACAGGTGATATTATCAAGTGTGATGAGTCCACTTTGATTAATTGCAGTAAGCTAGTCAGTGGATTGAGTGGCACCATCACTTTCTGTGGCATTCAGCTGATAACCTATGTAGGTTAAATACCAATGAGGAGGCTAAGAGTCAAGCCCAGGGTGCCAATTTTTTTGAAAACAGACTAATGGGTGCATAAAAAGTTTAAACTGACAAAGGAATATTTAGCATTGTGGTTTGCAGTGCTTTAACCAATTTGGGTGAATCAATTGTTAGTGGATGCCTTTAACTTAATTTATTTTATATTGTGCATGCATAACAGAATAAAAGTGATTCTACATGCTAAAGATTAATATTAATAACCGAAAATTTAAGATAATATGCTTCTTATCACTAACATTAGTAATGTACATAAGACATTATTAATTTATTAGTCAGTAATGATAGAGGAAGAGAGCATGAGACTATGCCTTTATTGCCTATATACATTGATCACAGTACCATTCTTCATCATTGCCATGCAGGTTGTTCTGTAAACCCCACACAGTCTTGATGGAACCATTCATACGGGCGTTCTTTGATATCACAAGCAACCCTAATACCAACTAAAACTTGTGTACAAATGCTATAGAGTGGTTTTATATCTTCCTTGTTACCTTCTTTGCCTGAGTCCATTGAAATAGGATCACTTACATGTAGCTGTTACATGTGGTAGACCAAAATTTTCTGAACAATGCACCGAATGAACAAGATATGCAGCTTTGGAAGAATAGCATACGTCCCAGCTGCATCTTTCTTGATTTTCTCTATGACAATTTCCTTGAGGGTCCAACATACAAAGTACGTGTACATGTATGTGCATGATACAACATGCAAACAACTGCATCTGCATGTAATTATCATTTTTTTCAATCTAGCATCCTACCTAAACCATTGCTCTTCAAATAAACATTAGGATCATCAATGCTTATAGCATCTATAATCACACTTGCTATCTAGTAACTTTATTTTCAGTAGACCTGTCCCACAACAAGGTCTGAGGAATGATTATGATGGGTAAAAATAAATTCTTCAAATGAAGCATGATGTAGACTTACAGCTTCTAAATATCCTTTTGTAGCATCTCTTTTTTGCCTTTCCTCATTAAATAGCAGGTTCATTTAGGACTCTTTTAATTTGTAGAATCCTATTTATTATGGTCTCTGAATGGTTTTCCAATCAAGTTTTATAAACTGGTCCAAATGATAATGCTGTTGTTTGTCCACTTTTTGCTCAAACCACAGTACACATTTACTCTATAGAATTGTGCACTCAGTTTGATACTGTGCTTGTTCAGCCAAAAACTGCAAATTGCTGTAATAGTGTGCCACTGTAATTTTTAATATCACAGCGTGGCATACATTCTTGAATTGACTCAAGTGCTTTAAATGAAATATTGGGTGAGAGAGCGATGAACGATACCTTTATGTCTCCTTTAGCCAATTTTTTGGACTTGACGATTCTTGTATTTTATAATCATAGGATGTCTGCATTCTCTCCTTGTGTTTTCTTTATCTTCAGCCATATTACAGTTGAAGACAGTGTGGTCACAAGCTTTCAAATGGTTTCATCTTTCCATAATGATTAAAGACATGCATAATTAAACTGTAAAATATTGGAATTGACCCAAATAATTTTATGTTCATAAGTGGACTCAACCACATTGAACAAGTGGCTGTACAGTACATTAGATTCACTATGACATCATTAAAATTACAGGCAGTGTCCCTATTTCATACTCACACAACCATAAACCAGCTCATACAACACTTCAATTTCTTTCTCCGTAACTGACTTACATGTACACATGTACAGTATCTTATCTTAACTTTATCTTCACTTGGTGTTTTGTGGGGACAATGCATTAGCACACTTAAATACCATTATTCATATGACACTTTGGGATGCCAGTGCTATAGCAGCCTGAGGAAAATGGGAGATACAAAACTATCAACAACACTACAGTCATATGCTACATTTTTTATATCTGGATTGTCAACATGTTGAGCACTACACCTTGATACTAATTTTCTGTTAATTTTGTGATACCATTAATGAAGATGATTGTTGTTAAACTTCATTGCTGCTGAAGAAGTCTTTGGACAGTGGTTTAGCTTACAATTTGCTATACATAAGCTCAGACTTGCTGGTAGCTGCATGCCATTGTATTTCATTGTGACCGCACTTGCTTTCAATGAAGATGAGGCAATTTAACTATAATAATAGTTCAACAATTTGTACAGAGAGACTGAGATACAGTACTTAATCACTAAGGGCTTTGCCTCATTGCTGACTCAGCACATGATAGACAATGACAAAAGATGCTTATAATTTTAATATACTGTCATTTCAGTGCCTGAATGACAAGATCAATTTTAGTTGGCTGAGCCCCAGAATAAACATAAAGCAATGCCATATTGGTCCTGACCCTTTACCAGCCTGTCTACTCTTATAGAATGGATACTGTCAGGAGTGGATAAATAATTATCCACTCTGATAATGTCTACATCTCTTTGTTTTTGTATTGTCTTGACATTTCATTTTTTCAGATAGCAACTGCTTTGCAACCATTGTTACTGAAGTATAAATCTATTGAAAGTAAGAGTAACTCATTGAAATTTTAAAATTGGGACATACTGTATGACAATTACTTTATGATTATAATCATTTGAAAATACTTACAATGTACATGTATGCAGTGTACTGTATTTGTAGTAGCCTATCCTTTTGTATATTTTTAATTGTTTGCAACTCTTACTAAGTGCATTATATAGGTGACCATGACATATGTGACTATTCTGAAGGCCCTTCTAGTCATTTGCCTATACTTTATCTTCCTAGTAAAGGAGGGCAGTTGCTTCCTCCTCCAAGAACTGGCCAAATTCAGGTAATGATCACCATACATTTACATGTACATATACACATGTAGAAAATGTGAATCAAAAGGAAACAAGACATTATTATGTACATGTAAATGTAAAATTTATGAAGTTTTGTGGACTGAGCTTCCTTCAGCACTTCAATATGCTGTAATGTACATGTATATGCAGCGGGTGATGTTTTTTTGCTGTTTGCTCTTTACATATAGCTTATTACGTGAGGAAAATTACTCGGAAATTTATGCAGTGGAAAATTCCTGTGTTTCAAAAGATTAAATGTTTCTGTAATAATGTATTATTGAATGTGGCACGTACATGTACATTCATTTTATACATGTGATCTAATTTTTTGTGAAATAACAATTATATAATTTGTGTTTTTGCGAAACAATGGAAGTTTTTGCTTTTTAAGTTGTGGCTTGCTTTTTAAACATGTACATGTACATGCATGTACCTTTTTCCCTATGAGACATTTCTGTCAATCTTTTAAAATACCCATTTTAAAAGCTTAATTTTTTATAAAATTAGCTATCTTGTTTTTTGATGCCTTGAATCTGGGGTCTATTCCCATTTGTTCTTGGCCTCCAATTGCTTACTCAATGAATTAACTAAATTGTTCATAATGCCCTTTAAAATTCATAATAATATTTATTATTATTACTATTATTATTGTTATTATCATTATTATTATTATTATTCAATGTTTACATGTACATGTACTTGTTTGTGTATATTTTGGCAAAGGCAGTTTCAATATTAATAATTTTCTGTCTTTATTCCCTGTCATATTTAATGCATACAATACATGTAACAAGTAAACAGTAATATGCTCCATGTAGAGTAAAAATGTACATAACTTTCGTTTTGTATTTTCATTACTCTGGTAGTCTATGAAGAAGAAGCCAATGGTTCCCAGTCTTATTGGATCTGGTACTCATACAACTGATCTTCCTAATCTTCAGAAAGTGATGACGATTAAACCAGTTTCTCTTCAGCAAAGACTTCCTTCCTCTTCTTTACCACCTACAAACCTCTTTTCAACCAGGTTTTATTGCCATTTTGACTTACACAGTTGATTACATGCACCTCTTTATGCACATGTCACTTAACACAGTTTTATTGAAACTTTAAACATATATCTTAGGTACATGTACATGTACAGTGTACGTTGATGAATCAGAATTTATGAAGGCTTAGCTTTGCCATTTTACTCTCCCTAAAGAATTAAGAATTTGTAGTTTAGCAGATTACTTTAAATGAGACAACAGCATGTAGATTATAATTGTATATTAAAAGCAGGTCCCCATTTGCTTAGATATTTCATGCAGCCCTCCTTTCAGCAAGCTTCATTGCAAGAAAGTGGCTGCTACTGCAAATTAAAAAAATTGATGAGCTACATGTACAATGTACAGTACATATTCCAAAACATATGGTCAGGTTTGCTAATTTGTTACTGTTACACACTGTTAAGTTAACTGGCATATACTTATACATATACAGTACATGTCCAATAGTAAAGCTACATGTACTTGTGTAATATTGAAACATATACTGTCAGCTACATTTATGTGTTTGTCAGTTACAATGGCATAGCACGGGAATGTCCTGGACTAATGAAATGTATTATGTACATGTATATCTTTGCCAATGAACTGTACTCAGAGCACTACATTTATTTTACATTATATGTATTTGTGTTATTTTAGTGCTACTGGTAGTATGCTGTTTCATGATTCATTATTTTCATCACGTGGTACAGCAACCCTTCGTAATATCCCATCCTCTCAAACGCCACTTCCTCTTAGAAATCAAGATCAGAAGGTAATATCAGGGAAGCCTGGAAACAGAAGGTACTACATGTCGTCTTTATTGTGTACTAGCACATGCTCTTTGTGTATTACTTTTTACAGAAACCCTCTAAAACCACTTGAGATCCCTCGTACTCCTGGATTTCCTTCAGTGCAAGTAAGTACATGCTGTATACAACTTGTTTACCTCTCACAGGCTTTGTTCCACCTTTGTTGTACCATATTAGAGATTATATTAATGACACAATGTACATGTATACTTTCATGACTGATTTTATTGAAACTGAAGTTTCAATAAAACATCATTTTTATCATAATACATTAGTTTTAATCTACATGTTTTGTCAATTCTAAAATCTGAAGGCCAAAACAGTAAAATGATTATAGGCATATAGGCGCTCACTATTCACTTACTAAGTAAATGAAATTTATGAGACAAAAAAATATGAAATATCTTTTGCAAGTGAAATAGTAAATGCAAGTGTTGGTCAGATAATTTTGTGACAATGTACGTACACTTTATGTATCACAAATTTAATGAATGATGTACATGCATGAACCAAAATTGAAAAAAATAATTCTAATTTTCATTATCATTATGCATTTTTATTCATAGGATGAAGGTATTCGTGACTTTAGTGGACTGATAGGACAAAAATTGTAATTTTCCCATTATTGCACATAAAATAACTCATATTTTATTCTTAGAGTTAGACATTCTCAGCTTCCTCCACTCCCATCTGTCACTCAAACTGATAAAGCAATTTTTCCGCTAAGAAGCAGTGGAGTGAGTACCATTCTTACGTTATAACATGCATGTACATGTATGTTTTCTATTCTTACAAATGTTGTTTTATAATTATGTCTATGTATTGTACTTATAGGTGAAAGGTAGAGTTACATTTTCTAATCGAATTGTTAGTGCTGCAGCCGAAAATAATGAAATTGGTGGAAGACATAGTCAGAGACAATTAGCAGTTGTTAATCACACTGACAGTAGACCTAACACTACACAGACCTTTAGAGTAAGTGTATTACATGTACATGCGATTATAAGATCATACATGCCATTATTGGTATCAGACTATCAGTCCAAGGCATCAATTTTCATATGCATACATGCATGTAGATTCATATGTGTGTACTGTTTTTATTTCTGCTCTGTCAATAGGTAATAGGTCATGCAGCCAGTCTTCATAATGACTTAACTCTATTGGAAGAACAGGACGAAAGCCTTCATCATGATAGTCGCTCACGCCTTATGTTTGCATGTGAGTTTTTTAGCATGTTTAATTGTATTAAATTATGTTTTACTGAATCTTCACTTGTATGTATACTATACTTTTGGTGCTTGAAAGCAACATTAACTTTAATGTGTTAATTTGTCCACAATAATAAGTTTGTTCAGCAATTTAAATTCTGTTGCCAAAGTATGATTGCTGCCAAATTCTGGTTGTTGCCAAATTCTGGGGCCAAAGTATAATATTTTCCAGTTTTATGACTGGATATTATTTAGCTCTTATTTATGTACATGTAGCTCCCAAGCCAAAGTCTAGCCTGTCTCGGGGAAGATTAACATCAAGAGGCGGTCCAGTAAAATGACAATACTTTGTCATCATTATTGCTCCATCACTTCTGTTTAAATTATTATATTCATGCTCATCAGAATTTTTAATATATAATTTGCTCTTGTCATAATCATTATTTTTATTGTGCGTATTGAGTAAACTAAGAGAATGACCATGACGTAGCAATTGACATTTGTGAAGTTTAATCAATAATCGCTTAAATTTTTAACAATACACCTGTTTCTTTGTTTCTGCTTGGGTAATGTGCAGAGAGTATGCAGCCAGTGTGCAATGCATAAGATGAATAAACACAAAGAAAAGTCATATAGAGTACACCAAGTTAAACAGTAACAAAAAATAAGAGCCAAGTAAAACAAGCTTGACTTACTTGACAACGAAGAAAATACACAAAGTTTGTGGTACAACTCTGGAAGAGAAGGCAACTGATTGGACTGCAACCCAGCCCTAATTGACATGATACAAGATCATGACAGCCCTCAGCAAAGTAAATGATAGATTTACAAACATGCACTATGGTAGATATCTGTGATATGATGTAGGACCAAGACTACCAATGCAATGGCATGCCTCACAAGGTAGAATGCATCATAGATATGATTCCATGAACACTTGTCTGTATGTCACAAATGTAATTGAATCTACAGTAAGCTATAGTGCAAATGTGAAATAGCAAAGCAAACAACATTTTATTGACACTATATTATAGCTATAATAGTTATGATTGGCTTTAAAACTTTGTTCTGTAAATTATTGCATAATTAAGGCAATGACACTGTTCAACACAACTGAATTAGCCAACTTGAAAATCATTCAGAACAAAAAAATTATTTTAAAACATCTATCTCTCTCCTAAAGGACATTCAAATTACCATAAAGCATGCAGTTTCACATAATGATCAAACAATCAGTATAGCTGAATTAGTTTTTTTTTCATAAAGCCCTAAAAATTCAATAGTTAACTTCACTCTGAAGTAGACATGTAACTATAGTAAGTTTTTATCATAATCTGTGATCAAATATGCCTGTATTGATAGAATATCTAAAATCAAAAACAGACTTTTTTGAGTGATACAGAGTCTAATCATAATGGCCAGGGCCTGGTATATTAATTTAAATTAAAAAGAGTTCTTTAAACGACAACAGTGTCACACACACACACACATATAAAACTATCATTATTATTACTACTACTAATAGCATTAATAGTTAATACTACAAAAATTAATAGTATTAATAGAAGATCTACTAATTAATAGTAGAATACTATAATTACTACCAAGAGTTACTACTAATACTACAAGTACTATTACTACTATTAAACTAGTATTACTAAGTACTACTAATACTACTAAACTAGTATTACTAGGTACTACTAATGCTACTAGTATTTTTACTAGTACTACTAAACTAGTATTACTAGTAATACTGCTAGCATTACAACTAGCACTAAAATTATTAGTACTACTATATTTTTTATACTAATAATAAAGTAGTATTACTGCTAATGCTACTCAACAATATAGCTCCCAATTTCGTCAGTTGAAAATTTTTGTCATAACCTTAATTTCTTGCTAAAATTCATTTTCTCAATTAAATTTTTGTCATTTCCATTACAAATTTGCATGCTACCCCCAATAAACAAAAATTTTGTTCGAAAAAATTTGTGACACAAAAATGCCAGACAAATTTAACAAAATTTTGACTGACAGGAATTTGGGGCTACACTGTAGTAGTATTACTATTCACTAGTAATACTGCTAATTAAAATTAGTATTGTACTAATATTACTGCTGTACTATGATTATTACTAGTACCAAGAGTCCATGGACTCTTGCTAGTACTACTATTACTAATGTTATCAGTATTACAACTATTACTACTGATAATTAATACCACTAATTAATTATCAGTATAATGCACTAATTATATACACAGTCATTATAATTATAGTATATAAAGCAATGATTATAGTAATAACTATAAGTTTGGTACAACCAACAACATAATAGTCCAGTTTTATATAAATTTCACAGAGCAATGCCACAACAAAAGTAAATCAATTAAAATTATAACATATTATGAGTCTGTTATAATGACCAATAATGTTGGGCCATAGTACTTACTACATGCTAGCCTAGCAAGCAGTGCCAATTATGGAATTTGATACTGATATCTGTTATACGTGTACTTATAGTGTGTCAATTATCTGGAACAGTAAATTAGTTTAGTAGGCAATAATACTAATCCATAAACGTAAAATAAAATTTTCCAAACTACAGATTTAACACAACAATACATACACTGACTTCCTGCTAATAAATATATACTTAGATGCACATGTATGACTTGATGAATTCAAAATATCTATGACCACATATGGAAGTGTGTATGGCTGTTATTGGCATCACATGATGACTAGTACATGTATATAGTAGTATATGACCTACTCACTGACAAATTACACTTGAAGATCACAAGAGATACAGCAGAGAAAAGCAAAGACTACTAGCAGTTTTTACTCTAAGTTACTGCGATAAGAAAAGGTAATATATCATTACACTATCATTTAAGCAAGCAGAAGTACATGAATTTAGTATTTTTTATTTACCTACAGTTATGGAAGATAAAATGACAGACAAAATGACAAAAGAAATGAAAAAAATAAAAGATGAATGAGAAAAAAGAGATAAAATACCTGACTATGTCAAACAAATGCAAGAAGTGGAGGACAAAATGGGTTGTGAGTGTAAAAAAATAATAGCAGAAATGGAAAATTTACTCAAGGCAAATATAAAAAAGGATAAAGAAGACAAATTTATAAAATTAAAAAAAGAACTACATGAGGCAAAAAAGTTAAAAAAAGATGCTCATGAAAAACAACAACATTTATCATCAACAATGAAAGATTCAGAAAAGGTAAAAGCTGATATAGAAAAAATACAAAAAGAAGCAAAGGATTTTAAAATAAAAAGGAGACAACAATGGGATGAATATTACATGAATATAGCATGTTTAGCTGCTCTAAGAAGTAAAGACCCAAGCACACCAGTAAGTCAATAATGATTAGCATACATTATAATATCATTATATATACATAGGTTGGTTCTTGTATTGCTGACACTAAATCTTATCAAATAGTTGGGATTGGATATAGTTCAATGCCTTATGTCAAAGGAGGTCATAATGACAAAATTTTCCCTTGGAAAGGGCAATCAGCAAACACAACGCTTTACTTTAAAAGAGAGATAAGCACAGAGATGGCACTTGATGATACTAATAAAACAAAGATGGAACTTGACATTAAAACAGTGACAGCACCAGACATTAAAACAGAGACGGAGCCTAAAAATAGAACAGAGACTGTACCTGACATTGAAACAGAAGATAAACCAGGCATTGAAACAGAGATGGTACCTGACACTGAAACAGAGACAGAACCTGAAATTGAAACAGAGGTGGTACCTGACATTAAAAAAGACAAAAATCTTAAATATCCTTTTGGTAAACAAAAAGTACATGTACATTAGTCTCATTGTTATTCTTTATACACGCGTAGTTGTTCATGCAGCAGTTAATGCTATTACAAATAGGACCAGGGATAAACTTGATGATTGTACAATATACACTACACTTTATCCTGATGAAGGCTGTGCTCGTGCAATACAAGTAGCTGGAATAAAAGAAGTTGTTTACTGTATGTACACAAGAAAACCAGACAGAAAATCGGAATCAGATATGAAGAGGTCGGAGAATTTTTTTATAGCTAATAAAATTGAAATAAGGTATGCAAATAATAATGAAACAAACTAGATCTAACTAAGCAGCAAAGCTACCTTAATGTAGATACATGTAATATTAATTAAAATTAATGCTGCTTGACACATGATGAGTATACATGTAATTAGCATATCATCCTTGACAGAGAACTAAAAACATCAAATGAAACTGAACCAGAAAAAAAAATTAAAGAAAGAATAGAACAAGCAAAAATGTTACATGAAGGACCAGCAGAGAAATTACCTAATGAGGCATACACAAAAGCAATAACATGGGAAGAGTTCTTCATGGGAATAGCAATACTGTCAACAAAAAAACCAGGACAATATGATAGAAAAGCAGAATTAGCAGTGAGAATCTAAACAATGCAAGCACATAGACAATATTCTCGTATCAACTAACATTACATGCATTTATTTCAGGTAGGAGCATGCATTGTGTCACCGTGCAAACAAGTAATGGCAGTTGGATACAGTGGATACCCTGAAGATATGGAACTTGGGGAGATTGAGCAAAAAGATCATAAAGAATACCGTTAGTATTCTCATATACAGCATATTATTATTATTATTAGTTAATCATGCTGAATACAAAGCAATAATAGGAGGACCATTAGTTAGAGGGTGCACACTATATGTCACTTCATATCCATGTGATACTTGTGCTAGACTTATAGTGCAATCTGGTATCACTGAAGTAGTGTATGATAAAGATAAAGGATACCCAAATTCTAAAGAAATACTAAGACAATGTCTAGAAGTGAAAAGCAATATAAGGTTAGTAAACAGTTTTCAAAAGTGAGTAACACTAACATAATAACAGGAAATGCAATCCAGAAAGTAAAAGTGAGCCATTCAATTATATTTCACAATAAATATGTAATATTGTAGATTTCACAGACAGTTTATACAAGTAATCATAACAGAAAATGTTACGTTAATTATAAACAATTATAAAATTTTGTACAAATTTTGTAGTTAGCTTTAATTAATGCTACTGTAAGTCATTTATAATTTTAAATTGTACTAATTTATCTTAACAATAATATCAGCAAAATAATTACGCAGCAACATTCTTTGGCATGAGCTGAGTTTTTGCATTCAGCATAACCAACAAACTGACGGGTAAGAAGGAAATAGGGTTTAAAAAGAGAGAGGGAATAAGTAGATGTATAACAGAAATGAGGACTACATGTAATGTAAATGGGTTCATATACTTTTACAAATTAAAAATTTCTCTCCTGTTCTATGTGAATGATTTCGTGCAGCTGCATGCAAAATTACACCTATGTATAGATCTATATGGGAGCACTTAATTGGGGCGAGCATGAGCGAGACCCACACTAATCTGTCTAGGTCTATTTGCGTTACGTCTTGTTTATGAACGGAAGAATACGAAAATTAAATTAGTATACTATTATTAATAAATTTGGACCACGTGGGCAAAATTAATCTAGAAGGTGTGGTCAAAAAGAGCAAGATGGCGGAAATTTTAACGTGACAAACTCAGATTGAGTTTCTAACAGCTAGATAAGAGAGAGGGGCTGTCTAAAGCATCTCTAAAGGCTGAAGAACTTAAAAGCAGTTTGATCTAAGACTCCTCTAGATTAGTCCTCTCATTGAAAGAATTAAAATTGTGAGAGAAGCTTGATTAGAAGTTTAGCTTGTCACTTTTTCTCAAGTATTAGGACAGTTCATTCTTGTCACTTTTACTAGGTCATTTTGGTCAGTGGTGTTAAATAGTGAGTTTGCTCTGTTCAGACCCCGCTGGACTATGAGGATGGGGTCTGAATATGCATGCACGTTAAGAGCTGCGTTGATTTTATTTCAGTAGTTTTATTTCAAAAAGATGTTAATTGATGGAAGCTTGATTAAAAGTTTAGCTTGGCACATTTTTTTCAAAGTGACAGGATAGTTCAATCAGTTCATCCTTGTCTCTTTTACTGGCCTGGTTATTTTGGTTGTGTTAACTGGTGTGTTTGCTCTGTTCAGACCCCGGCCATGAGGCTGGGGTCTGAATATGCATGCAGGCTAAGAGCTGGATTTATTATAATTTTAATCTTCTTATCAAACAATGTGAATTGATGGCTCGCCCCCTCAATGTTTACATTCACCTAGTAAATTACAGCGTATATAAACTTACATTAAAAGCAATTCCATATAGGAACAATTTAGCGTACCCAACACAAAATTTTGTCTAATATGTAGCAACATCTGGCGTACCTTAAAACAAATTGCTACAATTATATCTTATGTATCCTAGCTAACACAAAATTGCTACAATTAAATCTTGCGTATCCTAGAGAACACAAAATTGCTCTATATTAATACAAACAATTTTACATGTACTTCTTGCATCATTAGCTTTCTATTTATCTCACCTTAGCCACATAGCCAGTTCTGTTGCCTGTATCAATAAATGCAGTCAGTTCTATTGCAAAGTCTACCATCCATTCTTCTTAATTCATAATTACCAGGGACACCTAATCAACTTAAAATTGACTCTACTGTAATAATGTGTGTAAATAAAATGCTGGAGATGAATGTAATTAGAAATTGTGCTTACCTGAAGTGCCAATAATACTTCATGGAAACCAGGTAAAATATCAATATTATAATCACATGCAGCTAACAGACTGTCAAGTAATAGTGGTAACCAGTGAGCCTCATCTACAGTTATGTCATAACAGCAAACAATCTAATTAGTAGTTCATCCTTCGCATAAGAGAAGCTCACTCTGATTGGTCAGTACCTGCTCTCTAACTCCAGTCACTTTTGAATACATGTGTAATAATCACTTTAGGAACCAAATTTTGTTAACATTACGGCAGACTCATCTAGAGTTCTTTTATACCAGCAAACAATCTACATGTAAGTAGTCCATCCTTTGTATTAGACAAACTTACTCTGATTGGTCAGTACCTGCTCTCATATGAATCAACTCTTGTCCCTTTTGAGATGTTCCACTGAACAGTAGTTTCTTATAGACTAATTTGACTAATCTAATCAGCCTAATACCAACTCTTCCTCTACTTAAGCTGCCTAGTCAGACACCATGTGAAAAACACCATCATTACTTCCATTATGAGAGTGAGAGACACTATTACAAAAGTTTAGAAATCATTCATGCATAAGTTCTTCTCCTTTCATACAGTATCACAATTTAAAATTTTTTATTATCAACAATAAAAATCCAATTACTTTCTTAAATACATCACCAACAAATAATGTATCATTTCATCATACATGTTGTACATCAACTAAATACAATAACTCTAATAATAATTTTCAAACGGAATTAAATATACTGTAACTCAAAACATTTTGACTAAACTATTGTGACAATGGCACCCTATTGCAATTCTAAATCATATCAGTATTATGCATACCTAAAAATGATTTTACAGTTTTTATTCAGGTCTTTTGTCTTCATTTCCCTCTTTGTGTTCTTTTTCATCCATAAAAGCACTCTTATACATGTAGGTTTTGGCTTCTTCTTCAATTGTTTCTTCATATCTGATTTCTCCACTTACATCAGTAGTTCTTTGAGCTTCATTCATTTGGGAGCCATCATCTAAATCATCAATAGAAGAGCTGCCATGCTCATCATCTCCATCAATCTTCCACCACTTTACAACATTACCAGGGCCTTCAATAAGTGGCTTCACTACATCATGTGCCATTGGGTAATATATTGTATCGCGTATATAATAAGGACGGCCATTCTCTTTATAAGCAACTCGTATTTTATCTCGTATAGTCTGAGGATTACTCCAGTTAGTGGTAGGGGTGTCATGACCAATTTCATGAATAGCAAATGAGTACATAGGCTGAAGCAAAATAAAAGCATTTTGTGCACCAAAAGCATAACGGCTATGATTTTCAGGATAACACGGTGCAAATGTAGTAACAAAAATTGGCACAGCGTTGAATTCAAATGACCAGCCAATTTGTGACACAAATGATTTATTCATACAATGATAGCCTGCTGGGTCTTGGTTGGATATATATTTCAAAACACGATAAACTCCTTTACCAAAACTTTCAACATCCATTCCAAATTCAATACCAGGAAGCTCAAATACAAAACCATCAAGATGTAAGCTCTCAGCAACAGCAAAAAACTTGATTAGAGCGGGAATAGATCTAGATGTACATGTAATTATCATAATGATAGAAACTGAAAAATGAATACATGTACCTTTCAACATTAGCTTCAAGTGTAAGAGTAGTGTCATAGTCTCGAGCTCCCCAGAGTATTGCGGTGCGAGCAAACGTACAATGAGTGTTTCTTTTTACAAGTTCAAAGTTCTGCAATGTTTTACAGTTTTCTGTGTCATACAGCACATGATTTAGGATCAGGTTTGTATATGAGTTCTTCACATTGTCAGGTAAATGCTCTTCACCTTTGACTCTCTTGTGCCTACAGCAAAGTGTTGGCAAAGTAAAATTTAGGATAAAAATAAGCATTCTCAACGAACTGAGCACCTTAAACACAAAAACATCTAGTAATAGGTAGTTAGGTACAAGTAAGTGTATTGTGTTGAAAAAAAAAAATCTCGGTAATTGATCTAAAAACTCACAAGAATGGATGTTGAAACTTTGAACACACTACTAAATCATAATATCTCACTCCTAGTAACACCATAGATAATAGAGTAAATGAAAGGGATTGGCAACGGGGCGTAGCAACAGGAAATGCGGGTTGGGTTACCACGTGACAACCATGAGTGTTTCGATTGATTTCCAATCTCCTCCATTGGTGAAGTTGCTCTGGCAGGATTTCGAAGGAAATTTGTGCTGCTCCAGGATAGTGCTTGCTTTTGATATATAGCCTATTCCACATAGAATTTTTAGAGCTACCTGTAGCAAGGTTTTTATCTCCAAAAAGCCATTTTGCAACCAGTTAGAGGTACACAAAGTCGCCTGTTTTTGAAACACTTTATCGTTCGTAAAACACTCAAGCTTCATTGTATCAATATGCAAGTTAGCTCATTCCATAGGAGATTTCAAGCTCTTTAAAACAGTTATACTTATTTGTAGCTCAAGAAGAAAATGAGTCTCTCAGAGGGGGAAAAGATGGTATTTCTAGCTAAAGAGAGACGCAGCTACTAACGCATGTATTGATTTACTGAACAAAAAATATTAATACAAAGCATGAACATTGGTTAATATTGTGTGTAAGTTTTATTTGCATGAATTGTATTCTCTTGGAGTTATTCAAAAATAAAGCAAGAAAATCCCAGTTTTTTACTCCAAAATCGGTCAAAAAATCCCAACCCTCCTCTGTTTACTTAGCAACAATACAAATGAATGGAGGTTTGCCCACGCCCACGCTTCCGTTTCCAATCCCTTTCATTTACTCTATTATCTATGGTAACACATGTTATTGTCACTCCAAAACCTTAATGATTATAAAATACTTGAATTTTTTGATGTCTGAAAATATCACAAAATGAGCAGCAGCAAAAATTATAATGTTCCAAACTACGGTATTATTACATGTAGGTACATGTATATTTTGTATACCAATGATCACAAAATTTTTAACAATTTAACAGTACATGTACATGTTTGTGTACAGTGGAACCTGCTTAATCTGGTCACCCTTGGATCAGTTTTAAATGGTCTGATTAGGCAGGTGGCTGCATTACAGGTCAGCCTATGTAATACAGCCATTTAGTACAGGTCTTGATCGGGATTGTGGCTTATGGCTGTAATAGAGAGGTGGCCTCACTACTCAGGTGACCTTTAGCACGGGTTTCACTGTATGTAAATTCTAAGTAGCAATAACCCAGTAATGGTTGGAAGGCTAAATTATGACAATTTATTTGTCCTAAACTCAATTTACGTGTATGCATGTACATGCATGTACATGCACATGCAGAAATACATGTGCAAACAATTAATCCATGTAACAGTCATCTACAAAAAAGAATGTCTATGAAAACAAACAAAATTATTATCATTACCACTATTCAAAACTTAACAGCACATACATATATGTGAGACCAGAGATAGAACTACATTTACTGTATATTTGTAACTAAATAAATGGGAGTTAGGAAGTCAAATGCTACGGAAGGACCAGAAAACAGCTTTGAAATCTGCCATATCAGAGCCATATAAAGTGCAATGGCAAGATTGAGTTCACTGACACTTTAATACCAGTTTTAGATGTAGGGAGGACTCCATAATTTTTTACACCCAGTTGGTAGAGAGATAAACTCGGGTATAGTTATAACACATTACAAACCAACCATATAGCCCTCTAAGCCCTCTCATTCACTGTAGGGAGGGGCTGGCTATGGAGACTAATGGGAACTTGGAATATACATATTATGAATCTTATTGGGGTGAACTTACCCTTTGTATGGATTTTGTGGATGCAAGTCCTGATCAGATGATAGGAGCTTCACATTGTACTTGTCTCTATCCAAAAGATACAAAGAACCTATTTCAATTTATCATGAAAACATCCTTTTTATGTAATTTTTATAGGCTTACCTAAAAGACAAATCAGAAGAGCAAATGAGTACCACGTGAACGTCAGTGAGCAAATGAGAAAGCCACACACACTGATCAGACGACAAGAATCGACAAACACTATCCAAGACAAAACCATCTTGGGCGATCTTGAGACTTTCACTTAACCGTCTTCAGTGCTGAGGGCTCCACTTGACACCCGAGTCGCTGTTCGCTTAATAAGAAACATTAAATTGAAAAGTTCGCACTTTGCACTCTTACCAAGTTACCATCTCACTTAATTAGAATCTTCAGTTCAGCTTCAGAATCTCTAGGGTCATTTTGACTTTATAAGACGTACAATACAGCTGTTTTTGTAACTGTGCCAAGAGTTTATGAGCTTAGGATCTGAAGTTACATCAAGGAAAAGGTCTGCTGGTAGGTTATAGCATTTTACATTTCCTGCTGACTGACTTATCAGTCTATGTATTGTATTCACTTTCATCGCACGTGCTCAATAACAAGTGGGTGTGTGGTGTGACTTTTTCTGCTTCATTGTAGTTGACTCTCATCCAGAAGACACTGAAAGCAAGAAAACATTCAAGATGCCATTTGTTGGAATTAACGGGTAAAAAATATGATAATTACATGTATGATTATTTTCCTTGTAACTAGATTTGGTCGTATTGGTCGTCTAGTCTTACGTGCTGCACTAACAATGGGAAAGGGTGACGAATTCAATGTGGTGGCTGTCAATGATCCTTTTCTTGATGTGGAATACATGGTTAATTAATAATATTCCTTTCATTCTTACATACCATATGTGTGCACTTGTACATGTACAATGTACATGTCTAGTTTAAACTGTTAGTTACTGGAATGACTTTACTATCAAATTGTCCTGATGGCTCTGCCATGACTCATTAAGTGACATTATGACCCTTTCATATCAGAAAGCTGACCTTTTTGGTGTGTAATACATGTGTAGGTAAATTATACGATAAGGGTGTTCATTTACATGTACATGTACATGTACATTGTAATTGATGCACTATTTTGAGGGGCTGCACCCTCTGTAAAAGTTCAAATTAACATGTATGCAACATTGCTAAAATAATGCCTATACTTTTTGTCTTTGCTTTGTTTCATAATAAAATAGGGATTTCTTTCATTTGTGTAGCTTAATTTCTACACTTTAGGAAAGGTGCATGTACATGTACATGTACATGTATTTGTGCCTGTAATTGCATGTGATGTACTGTATCTTAATTAGCTACAATGTTGTTGATGATACAATGAAACTCTTCTTTTACATGGGCATGTACCGTATATCCTTAAATAAAAGCCGGATGCAAATAAACGCTGGGTTAGCAATAAAATGGGACTATAAATTTGCAAGTCTAGCCTTAAAATACAATAGATGCCTAGTAGATGCTTCCTTAAGCTTCCTGAAGTCGTTTGCGTGAGGTTTCTGGTTTGAATCCTGCTGTTGGCTCAAGTTTTATTTAATTAAAAAAAATTTGTGGTCCGAATGTCATGTTAAGATATACATGTAGACACCCTGGCTTATTATTTTATCATATCATTTTTGTGTTTATTTCCACACATGTACATATAGGCTTACTTGTTTCAGTATGATTCTACTCATGGCAGATACAAAGGAGAAGTTAAGACAGAAGGTGGTAAATTGATCATTGATGGACATGCCATAGCAGTATATGCAGTGTAAGTTATATGTACATGTACATGTACTGTACATGCATTATTGTGATGTGTGAGTTGTGAGTACCATAATAGAGATCGCAACTATTTTGTGAATTTTAAGTAATAAATTTAGTAAAATTTGAGCCTGTTCAAGAATTAATTAATTCAACATGAAATAAACCAGAAATACAGTACAGTGCAAAAAAAGCTAAGTAGCTACTCTACTGTTGCGTAGGTACATGTAGTTTGCTGCTCCTTCATTGTGCATGCACAAACCCACCAGTAGTAGTAGCACACATGGTCATCAGCAGGACAATAGCTCGACAGTGAATTGAGCGAAGAGCCTCATAAACAGGCTTTTAAAGTAGAGAACGGCAGTACAGAAAAACTTGGACAGCACAGACAGCCAAGAGAAGCATCCTTAAGTCCTTTGAGAGCCTCTTGAGCGCACGAGCACTTGCTACTATGGAACATGTGACTGGGTGGTACCTACTTCCTGGGTGTAATGCAGCGAAGAGTAGCGAAGTAGAATTACTACCTACGAACTACCTATACCTGTGTAGTACTGATGCTACTTACATGTACAGTATTTTTTTTTGCCTTGTACTGTGCTTTAATAATATTTATAGTAGTTCATGGAATTTTTTGTACTTGTATGCAAATAAGAACTGCAATGCATATAGTTGCTATAGCCTTGCAACAGCAAAGCTACATGTACATGTAAGTATTCTACACAGGGACTAGCATGCATTTCTTACATTGCATGGAGTTAGAGAACTTTCAAAAACTATTTTTTTTTTCTAATTTTGCAAGTTCAAAGCTCCCAAAATTTTTGTGTGATTGCATGACATCTTAATGTTTTATTGGTGTACCGTCTATCTTGAAATTTTTACTGTGTTTTTAATTTTACTGATTAGATTTCACAAAAATTAGATTACCCATATTATTACATGCCACATTCAGTAATACATATGACAGTCTTGTTTAGTAAAAATTGAATCAGAGCACAATTTGAAAATTCAAAAATTTTCTACCACAAAAATTTCCTATCTACAGTAATTTACATGTACACTGTACAATGCATGTAGATGTGTCATGTACATGTACTTTTCAGTGATCGCACCGGCTTAATTTGTGGCATTACACGTGCATGCAATCATAATCTTAAACCCAACATACACTGTGCAACATTTTGTTGTAAGCAATTTGTTACAACTAAATTGTTGCATGCAACACAATTATACAGAAGTCAATGGAGCTTGCAACATCCTGCATGAAATAGGATACAGTTCTATTTTGTGGAACATGTTGCAAGCTCCATTGTTGCATGCAACAAGTTGTTTACAACAAATGCTGCCTGTTTTATGTTGGGCTTTATTCATTTGTTTTTTTGTGTACTTTAAGTGTGTAAACGTACATGTACTGTACATGTATCTGCTTTTGTACGTGTAATTTGTTAATTTCATGGCCAAAATGTACCATATATTATTTAATAAAAGCCAGATGCGAATAAACGCCAGGGTAGCAAATGGCAATGAACTATAAATATGCAAATCTAGCCTTAAGACAACACAGATGCCTTGCTTAGGTTCCTGACGTCAAGTGCAGAGGTCACTAGTTCAAATCCCACTCTGGCCCCAAGTTTTATTTCATTTTGTAATTTTTTTGAGGTTCAAATACATGTACATACCATTTATAGAAATAGACGCCCTGGCTTTTATTTTACGAAGTACGGTACATTTCATATGTACATGTACATGTACTTGACTACATGTGCATGTACATGTACATGCAGAGCCTTTAATGCATTGGCTGTTTAATGATTTCATAGTTGTATTTTGTGGTAGATGTACATCTTACAAAGTAACAAAACCACTAAATTAACTAACCTCTGAAAAATATCTACTATATATTTGTACTATACTACATCAACAAAGACAATGTCAGAAGCACCTGAAGGGCTATACCCCAGGTCACATAATGTAGCAACAAATTCTATTATCATTGTGGTCAGTCTGCTAAGCTGGGAATTTTTTTCAACTACACACAGTACATTTGTACTAAACCACTCTTTAGGCAAAGTGACGGTGCAAAACCCTTTGCAATTGTACATATCTTTTTAATAACCTTTCTAGCTAAATAAGCTGATCCTAATCTAATGGGGTGAAGTTAATAAAGTAATTGTATAGTAAAAGAAATTTATTTATTGCTACATCTACCATGCAAACTGCTATAAGATACGAAAATGCTGCCTTGTTTACATTAATAGATTTCTCTTACTTTAAAAGAACTCAAATTCTTCGGATGTACAGTACATGTAGATGAATTACAAAATGGCATGCAAGTTCATGTAATAACTACCAACCTTTTTGTGAGCATTCAATTTAAGTGTATTGTGACAGCTAGCATAGATAAGAAATATTAAAATGACTATGGCAACAGTGTAAGAGCTACATGTACATGTAGATCTGGAGTATTGGCTTTATGGACTGTAACATGTGATGATGGTGTGTATGCCCTTACTCTCCTCCTGTCTAAAAATTGAATATTTGCCCTTTCCTGCCAACTTGCAACATTGCCTTTACATTCGTAATCTTGCCATTAAAACTAGTTCTGCATCCAACAGGCTAAACAAAAATTTTTGCAGCAGCATGCATGTACTCACTTGTAGTTTAAAATTTCTGTGCAATGTAACTTCTATCATTCATCCAGTAACTTTATTGCCATGGCTACTGTATATGTACCTGTTCCTAGGAAAAAGAGTGAGCACTTCAATATTAAGAGTAATACATTTTTATCTGGAAAAACCTTGCTTTATAAGCAGCAACCGAATGTTACACAAAAGTTTTAAGGAAACTACATTGTACATGTAACAGATTTGAGGAACCGCAAACCATTTGTAAATGTACATGTAAGTGTACCTTCCTAGAGTATTTTGAGACTTCTCAGATTGCAACTTCCTGCTTTGCCCTTCCTTTCTTAGAGCAGTTCATCCTTAGGGATGTGGAAGACATATATGCCTTTGATTAGAACTTGTGTGATCACTGTGATAGACATATATGCCTTTGATTAGAACTTGTGTGATCACTGTGATGTGGTGGCATTACAAAGATTTTATTTTTTCCATGTTTTTTTTTTTAATTTTGATGCATGTACAATTGTTAACTACATGTACATGTACATGTACATATACACTTTTGCATGCAATAACAGATATGCATGGGCATGTACATGTACCATTTTGTCTCAATCTCATATGGCAGGCATCTTTCATGGTATACATGTACACTTGTATGTTGTTAATACATGTACATGGACACAATTGTACATAGAGCTAGTTTACTTGTCAATGTACAGCAATTCCTATTATTACTAGACAAATGTAAAACATTAAAGGGGTGAGCTTAAGCAAGCTATAGTGTATTATTTATGAGCAAACAAAGCAAATTTATACACCGTACATGTCCATGCAAATACAAAAATTGAAAATTTTGTCCAAGCTTTTCATTAGCTTGTAATCTGATCACTTATAAAATCTTTGCAGTAATTGGTTGTAGCAAGAATTACAGATCTGTTCAAAGCAATCACTGAAAAATTTGTATTTTGAAGAAGTTTGTACTTCTACTTTGTTAACCTTCCTGCTGCTTGAGATGACTTAGTCACAGCACATCAGAAATTGCCTGCTGAGCGTTCTCATTGCAGCATTCAGCTTATCAGAGTCCTTTGTACCAAGGAAAAGACTGTATACTTGCTTTTCCAACCTTTATTCTTGCTAGAGAAGTTTTAGACAGCAGTTGAGTCTTATCTTCTGACCGTTTGTTGCAAAATAAGCTCAGACTTGCTAATGGCTGCCATTTTATTCATTATATTCACACCTGCTTTCAATAAAGATTAGGCTATTTAACTTTAATAATAGTTAGACAACCCGTACAGACAGACTTTTTCTCGCCTTAGTTGGGTGAGCTCAGGCTTGCCCCCATAATATAGCTGTGATCACAATTATGGTGCAGACTTATAAACATGTAACTAAACTTGATGCAAGTTTTTTAGTCTTAATACATGTGCATGTAGTGCATGTAATTTTGGTATTTACATGTACATGTAGTTTGGCTGATCACTGTGAGTTTGCTATGGTTAGCTTCATTAAAGGACATGTAATTACAGTTCGAATAATTGTACTATCCATATGCATGCTGATGTTATACACATGTAGTGCATGTGTAATTTTTTGAAACCATAATGCTAAATACATATTCATTTGAATGCATGCCAGGGTTAGGGGCTGATTACGATTACAATTGTAATCGATTGTAATCATTACATGTTTAACGTAATCGTAATCATAACTGTAATCACATTTCGAAAATTTATAATAATCGTAATTACATCTAATGTCAGGTGTGTAATCGTAATCGTAATCACTTGTAATGACAGGTGTGTAATCGTAATCGTAATCGTGAATTTGTAATTGACCCCAACCCTGATGCATGCACATGCACATTTTTACTTGCACATTCTGCATCACATTCTTGGTATTATCAATAACCATGTGTTATTAATAAGCCTGTACAACATGTACAATAGGCTTTCCACTATTTTTAAATTTGATCTATTTTCTTATATTTTTGTAGTAAGAATCCTGCAGAGATCCCTTGGGGTTCACACAATATTGACGTTGTAGTGGAATCAACTGGTGTATTCACAACACTTGATAAGTGTCAGGTATAGAAGCTTACAAAACTTTAATTGTGTATTTTTAATGTACATGGCAGTGTACCTCAGTACGTCACATGTACATCATATTTATTGCTGCTTACACATTATAATAATTTACGTACTATAAATGAAGTGATTTTAGATCATAATGTGGACTCATTTTTGTAAAAGTAATACTTTCATGAATTTCATATTATGGCTTTGGATGTGCTGTACTTGTACATGTACGATAATTAATTTATGCATGGTTTTTATTGATACCGTACATGTACATGTACATAGCTACTACATTATAAATTTTGAATTGTGTTTTTGACATCCCTTCTTATTTACTACATGTACGATGTACAGTTGTATTGTGCAATATACATATATAATATTTTACTTTTACAATGTCCTAGTTCTGTTCAGCTGCATGCTTTTACAACTGTAATTGGGACATAGCAAATTCTGTTTAAGTCTACAATTGCATGTACATGTATATGTTGCGTATAGTCAACCCATTTATGATAACTCTCTGAATCATTCTTAGGCACATATTACTGGTGGTGCTAAGAGGGTTGTTATAACTGCACCTTCTGCTGATGCTCCAATGTTTGTGATGGGAGTTAATGAAAAGGAATATAACCCAGCTAAACATCAAATAATAAGGTAATTATTTTTGTTCATCATTAATACATGTACATGTACATATGCACATTGTAATTACATAAAACATGTTGTTTTCTGCTACTTCAGTAGCAGACAAACACATGTTTTATGTAACCCCTTCACTACAGTATACTTGACATTTAATTTTGTCTGTAGTAATGCATCTTGCACAACTAATTGTCTTGCTCCTGTGGCTAAAGTTATCAATGACAAATTTGGTATTGTTGAGGGTCTGATGGTAAGCAGAATAATACCATATGTATGACTGTAATATTTTTCTGTAACACCTTCTTCAATAAAGACAACTGTTCATTCCTATACAGCTACACAGAAGACAGTTGATGGACCCAGTGGAAAGGTAATGTATGTTGTACATTTACATGTACGTGTACCTGTACATGTTATTTTGGAATCGGGATTTGTATGCATAAAGGACTATGTTTATGTAGACTCTGCATGAATTTTTTATGTAAGTGAAGAAAGTTTCTTATTTTCTTTTTTTTGAATCTTGAAGGTGAATATTGTTAAAGTTTTTTTGAATTCACTCCTTTTGTAATTTACATGACATGTTTTGTTATACATGTATTCTTAATTAGAAATGGCGTGATGGTCGTGGTGCTGCTCAGAATATTATTCCTGCTAGTACCGGAGCAGCAAAGGCTGTTGGAAAAGTTATTCCTGCCCTAAACGGGTTAGTTTACCTAGTTTTATGACCTTTTTAGTAGAGTTTTATTCTAGGAAACTAACTGGTATGGCTTTCCGTGTTCCTACAGCTGATGTTTCTGTTGTTGATCTAACCTGCCGACTAGCCAATGCTGTAAGTGTCATGATACACGTGTATGTAAAATGTACTTTTGTTTAAGTGTACTCATTTAGTTATTTCACACACTTCTTAGCCTCTGTTCTAGTTTTTCACTCCAAAAAAGTGCACATTGGATAATTAAAATCCTACTAACTAGCCACACCCCATCTAATTTGACATACATGGCATGTACGTAGCTGTTTTACTTTTTTGTTAAAGTACTAAAATTCAGTTGCAACACATTTGTTGCTGCCGGGCACTTCCATGTATGTGCATGTAGCTATATTAATCAAATCAATAAAATTAATTAAGTATAAGCAGATTTCTCTCCTTTAAAATTGTTTTGAATATTAATAGGCATCGTATGATGCTATCAAGGATGCAATCAGGACAGCTTCTCAATCTCCTGAACTGTCACGTTTCATTGGATACACTGAAGATGAAGTTGTTTCAAGTGACTTCATTGGTGACACCAGATCTAGCATATTTGATGCTAAAGCTGGCTTGGCTTTGAATGATAACTTTGTCAAGCTTGTATCTTGGTGAGGTCCATTCCACCTATCTATTACAATTTTACGTGTACATGTATTGTAGGTATGACAATGAGTTTGGCTATAGCTGTCGTGTGGTTGACCTTGTTCTGTACACTGCTTCAGTTAATTAAAGGCTAAACTGCATTAAAGACTAAACTGCTATTGTTAATTCATGTACACATGAGTCTTAGTAGATTATAGTTATAATGATAATTTTAAGCTATGGAATTTATTGCAAGAATTTGGTTGGGATAATTCTGTTAAGATTATTATTGACCTGTTCTGTGCTCCTAGATTGTAGTGCATGCACATGTATGTAGATTTCTTGTGAAGGTGTGGAACTTCTTTTTAGTTGCCATATAATTATAAAATAGCAGTACATGTACATAGAGATAAGCTGGTTTGTTGGGCAAAACCCTTACTGATGGAGTGGTTCTGTTTGTACACGTTAAATCAGAGCATGGCAAGGGGCACCCCTGAGTGGTTTACACCTAGTTGGATTAGAAGAATGGTAAAATCGACTTGTAGTGAAATATAACAAAATTTTATTGTAGAAGGTAATTTGAGTCACTAGCTTATCAGTTCGAACCAAATCAGCTTGACCCTTATATTCTTTGAATTGATATTCTAATAACACGTTGTTTAGTCTTAAGTGAAAATCATTATAGTTGTGCGTTTTCTGTTGTTATGTGCAAATGCCAACAATTTTATTACTAATAAAGAAGCTATTGCCGTGCCCAAATTTACTATTTATTGGCTTTTAAATTATAGGAGTTCCAGCGTTAACTATGATCTGGCATACTGCATGTATGTGTACTGGCACTAAACTTAAATTCTTGGAATCATATCATTTGATGATCTATTGTTGCACATTGATGAGTTAATGCTCTGCTTCTTTTTTGTTTGTCACTATGCAAACAAAGGTCAAGAGGTACAGGATGTAACAATAATTTGTTATTAAATATGAGCATTGCACTTACATGTACATGCACACTACAACATGTCACGTTGTAATAATGGCTATGTAGTAGAAGCTTTATCATGACAATGGGTCAAATTATGATGCCAAGAATTCCAAGCAACTTATTAATCTATGTACATGCATGAACCATGTCAGTATCAAAACTGCTAGTATCCTAATTAGATTTTGTTACTATTACTTGTTGTTGAAATGATGTCTTCTGTTGAAATAATTGAAATATCTACATAACAATTATTTTGAACACCAGCGTTTTGAGTATTCAATCAATGTAGTTGTGTGTGAGCATAATTTATTAATACTGAAGTATAGCATAATCAGTGTTATCAGTCTAACCTCCATTGACAAAAACAACCCAAACTACATGGCTAATGCAAGGATCTTCTGTATAAAGGAATAATAGAATTTTACTATGGAAGGCATTTTGATTTTACAAATACTATCATTTACTATCAGCAAAAGTAGATAATCTACTCTCAGAAGCAGCCGCTCTCTTAGAACACACACATTGTTTGTAGCGTAGAAATAGGATATGATTTAATTCCACTATTAATACTATATGAAAATTATCATTACACATCAAACAATCAATTACTCAGTTGTTACTCACAAGTGAGTCACAACGTCACAGATGACTGTGTCACTGCTACATTCTACACATGCCATAATATGCTCCATTGATTACAACGCAGCACATACATACTACATACATGACCCAGATTATAATAATTGCCGTTTATTTTCCCATAGGCACACATACATGTTCTACTACACTTTTGATTATGAACCCAGACTAATAACACTTGTTATCTATGAAATTTCTATGAAATTTGAGCCAGCTGATAGCAAGAGTATACACAGTAGTAAAAATGGGTGGGAAGCTTTCTTTGAGTTGTGTTGAAATTGATCTGAAGGTAGGTGAATTTGCTATTACAATTGTCAAGTTGTTAATTAAAAATAATAATATCAAAATCAGAACAAAACAAATCATGAACAAAAACAGTTTATGCAATAAAACAAATGCCAATGTAAAAATGCTATGCCACAAAATGATATGATAAGTGTTCCACTCACTATAGTTCTATAATAATACAAGTGATGATGAGGTCATATCTCTAGTCAATAAGAGTTCAGCTTGGCAGGAAGTGAGTTACATAGTTATGCATGTCACTCAACAAATGTCAAATGAGGCTTTCACACTACCTGGTCTTCAATATAACTGTTTTTAATGCCAATTACTTGCCCATGACCATTAGTCTTTTCAACAGACAATGCATTAAGATTTGTATCTTGGTCACAATAAACAGTAACTAAGGATGGAGATGCACTTAGAGTTGCTATTGAAAGATCAAAAGGTTCATCCTGTGATTAAAAATAAACATTAGGTCAGCCATATACTTGGTATTTCTACTAACCTGCCACATATCACTGACAATGTTATTCCTTTTCCATTTTTTAGTCCTAATAATAAGATTAACATGTAGTTTAAACCAATTGTACATCTATCACATACTTTTTCTTAATGAAAAATAGACTGATTATTAATAAGCCAATGCTCCCAGCTGCAAACAGTAGTAAAAACATTAAAATTACAGCAAGATACGAATAGATATCACTGTTACCTACATCATAGACAAAAATAAATAATTGCAATTATGGTAGTCAATTTATTTCCATTTGCCACACACTTGATTGTCCTTCAAAAGTGCTGCTTATAGTTGGTGTCACTGGAATACTTGTCATACTAAGTATGCTGCTGCTACTTGAAGGTTTTACTTCTCCACTAGTGCTCGTGAGAGCAATAGATTCTTTAGTAATTAAAGATGATGAAACAAATGCTGCTGACGATTGTGTTACTACAGATGAGTGCATCACTGATGAAGTATATACTAATATGGAGGTACCAGTGATAATAAAGAATTATTTAGCATACAAACTCACTGCATTCATTGATTTGTTTTGCAACATTATACCATGTTCCTGTCCTATAATCTTGAATGCATGCATGCCATGGACAGTGCCTATGATTTTCCAGCTCTCTTGTAAAATTACTTCTCTCATGAACTCCACGTCCATAAATGACTTTCTAAAGTTTATTATTATTGGCCAGTTTGATTAAGTCAGTAAAACTCACGGTGGATCCATTATCACATACATAGTCAAATTGCACCCAGTCACCTGAATTTCTCCCTACTACGGTGACATTATCAATACTTGAGTCACATGTGCGTGAGACAATAAGTTTGGCAGCTTGAGAATAATTTGTACCATCTAACAAAAGAAAGCATGAATATATACATACCTCTCTTTGGAAACCATGAGCATGCAAAACTTACTTATTCTTACACCATTCTCCTCACATGTGTAGGTAGCGGTAACTGGACAAAGCAAAAGAAAGATGCACAGGATGATCACCAATACGACCATTTCCACGCGTCTCGGGCACCTATTGTTAGGCAAATATTGAGTGAACAGGCCTTTAATAGCAGCCTAACTGAGTAACCACAGCAACGAAGAAGTATGTTGAGAACAGGATATTTCAGTCTGGCAGCTGTCAAAACTACTACTAGTGGGATGTGGAATCACAATCATGACAATGACGAACTACACCATATAATTCTGTGACTGTGTGGATGTGGTTTTGATTTAATCATAGATACTATCATTGATTTCACACTACATAGATACTAGCCTATGGCTACATGTTACACCTAATTATGTCAGTAGGCACCTCCATACAAGTAGTGCAAGAAATTTTTTATAATAAATAACAAAAACAATACATAATAATTACATGTAAAATTCATTCAAAAGACGAATGTCTAATTGTAATCCTTATGGTAGCTGGAGCTATACTGACCACTAGCAGAGCTACTAAAATATGCTGGTTGAGTGGCAGTCCCACTGCCAGATTGATATGCATAATACTGAGCGGCTGGTAAATATGGTGTTCCTGAGCTTGATGTAGGCACTAAAGAGTATGCATAAACATGAGTTGGGGTAGCAGAAGAAGCATATGAAGTATGATAAGAGGATGCCCCTCGATAATCGCCACCTTTAGAACCTGGCTTTGGCTCAGCAATACTGACATTTAGACGTGAATTACGAAGAACATGAACCTCTTTGTACATGCTTTGAGCATCATAACCATCAAGAAATGTCACAAAACCAAACCCACGGTATGGCTTTGGTATATAAACATCGGAGAGAGAACCATATTGACTAAAATATGCACGAAGCTCCTCAGTCGTTGTCTCTGGATCACTAGGCAAACATCCAATAAAAAACTTGCATGGCAGACTACCAGGACTCTAAAAAAGAATTTCTGACTTATTCTACAATACACTGTAAGTGACAAACCTTTCTTGGTGGGCGAAGTTCACATCGCCGACCTTTTATTGTGTGACTCATAGTCATGACCTTGCTCTGAACAGCAGGGTCCTTGAACCGTAAAAAGCCAAATCCACGAGACTGGTGAGATTTATGATCACGTTTTACCTAAAAAGTACAAAAAAATATATACATGTACCTGTACGTCTGATTCTCTCAAGGCTAAAGGATTTTCAATCCATCAATTCTAAATACCTCAACTTGCTCAACTTCTCCAAAATGCTGAAAATAGTCTCTCATTTCTTGCTCATCGACATCATACCGTAGCCCAAGGACTATGAGATCACCAGATGGACCAAAGGATTGATGATATCTTGGAGGAGACTGGCTCGATTGACGTAAAGCCTTGGCAGAATAATAAGCATCATCATGATGGCTTCTCTTCTGACCAGCTACACATATTGGAAAATGCAATTAACATATACAGCGAAACCCCAGTAACCATACAGTGCAAAATTTTTGTAGCTGCATAAAATAATAACTAAGTTGCTACATGTACAGTGTATATGAATACTATATGTATGCATGTACATGTGTAAGTGAAACAAGAGATTTATACCTCTAAATTTAGTCACTTCCATGTACTGTACATGTACATTGTTGTAATCTACATTTGTTTGCCAACTTTGCTTATGAAAACTATAGCATCCAAAATTTTGCACTGTATGGTAACAATCAGCACATGTGCTGCTGTACATCAAGGAAGTCACTAAAAGAGGGTAGTGTATGATACAGTACTACGCTAAAGAGGTTCAGCACTGCACTCGAAAAACACATGTAAAATCTTAATGTACAAGTACCAGTGCATGCACACATGTACATGTACATGTACTTGTATGTAAGAACTAGTGCACTCCTCTTTAAAAATTTCAGACTTCCCTGATGTACATGCACATAATACAACACACATGCAACAAGTAATACATGTAGGATTTATTTCATAGATTATACTTTTAAGTCAGACCACAAATATCAACAATTAACAATTTAAAATATCCACAATATACATGTACAAAGCCCAGTAACCAACATACAAAGAAAAAACAGAAGTGTTTGTTCATATACATGTAATTCCCTTTGCACATTTCGTTAGCTTCAAGTGCTCATGATGGTTTTACACATGCAATGTACATGTACATGTACATGTAAAGACTAATGTAACTTACTAATGTCACTAAAAATACCGCAACTATTTTGGACTTCTAAGAAAGTATACAATAAAGATGCATTCGTAGTTACACTACACATTATTGGCAAAGTTAGGACAGGAAGGTGACCTCAATGGTGGCTGCTTTGTGTAGCCTAAATGTCTATTGTGTTATAACAGCTTACCTTGCCAGTCTGGACAAAGTTAGACAACTACATGTAAACCATACATTATACTTTTTAGAATGAGTGGTAATACTGGTAATAATTGAGGGGAGCCTAGAGTCTTACATAGGCCAAGAAAAGTCTGGATATGTTTGTCTGTCTGCATATAGTCAGCACCAGTTGTCTAACTATTACAATCTTCATTAATTCAGGTGTGGTCGTGCAATGAAATAAATTGTGAGCTACGAAATGGGAGCAATTTGGAGCCTATTTGCAGCAAACAATCACCAAGGCACAATGTACATGCAAAACTGCTGTCCAAAGGCAGCAAGGAAAGCAAATTTACAAGTTGAATGCAATGATAAGTGAAGCTACTTAGCATGTACATGTACAAACATATAGCTTGTAAACAGTCTGTTTCTAAATATCCTTGATGCACTAACTGATACAATAATTGCAAAAGCACTTGAGGTAATTCTAATTGCCTAAAAAACGAATGTGAAGTGTAATAATATTCCTATATTTAATTTAACTACATTGTACATAAATAGCTAGGCTCTTAACTTCTTATTAAGACTTAAAGAGGTTCCCTCTAACTTACAATGGTTCTAGAGAAGTTTTTATCCAGTAACTCAAATCTTTTTAATGTTAGAAACCTCAAAACTTTGTTCCATGTGTAATCCACCATTTTGTTTGCTGCAGCCACACAAACCTTACGTAAAGGATGTGGGAAGGTGGTTGCTAAGGCATCTTATTTTGCTATTTCTTCAATACAACATGTACAGAAGGATTGTAAGTGTTGACACACAATTACATAGATCACACATGGGTAAAAATAATTATAGAAACAACCTGGGGGCTCCTCCCAGGTCATAAAAAGAAGATCCACAAACAACTAACTGAAGTTTGTTGTTCCAAGCTGCTTTATACAATCATTGCATAATGAATACATGTAAACATGTACTGTACATAAAATTAAATTACTATGATAGCTTCTACTACTGCCCAAAAATAATTACTTAAGATTATTAAAATGCAAAATTTTAGAGAAATTACAGGACAATGAGGACATACTGTACCATACAAACATATAAAGTAAATTATATTCTAAGTACATTTTCAGTTACATATGCATGTACATGTAAGTCAAGTTTCAGGCACTTTGCATAAATGTACATGCATATGTACATGTAGCTCTTTAATGAAAGGATGATTAACACTCGTAGAATAACTATTTACTTTTCAGTAGGAGGTGAGTACACCACATTACACATGTACATACGCTATTGAGCTAATTATGTGAACTAATTTGTACTCAATTACGTGCAACATGCACATTACAATCACATTACAAACAGCTACTAATAATCTGACATAATGGCTATCAGGGTTTTCCACAACTTCCTGGAAGTTAATACATGTAAGTTCAAAGGACAATTATGATACAATGTATCAAAATAAAAATACGAAGGAAAGCACCATATAGGAGGTACTTTCCCGGAGAAAATATTTCACAAAAATAACCTTTCAACCAATTCACAACATTTTTTTTCATTTTTTCTACTGACTACTATTAGTATGATTTTAAAAAAAATTTTCATAGATACAAGTTTTCACAAATTTTTTAATAATTATCGCAAAACTAGCAAAATTCAATCTGTGTGAAATACACCCCCTAAACAGCAATTATACTATTTCAGGGGGAAAACCCTGATAACCAAAAACAAATAGTCAAATACCTTACCACATTACTTTCATGAACAATAAAATTAAACTCCCAATCCTCCCATTATGTCTCTCACCCATCCCTCTTGGACCTCGGATACCCTCTCTCTCTCCACTCTCTTGTTCTTTCACTGACCCTACTACTACGAACGTCAAACGACCCCACCCAGACTCGGGAGGGTGAAGAACATTATCAGACACACGTACGGCACGCCAAGAACCTGATTCAGGGTTCCTGTCATGATTAACATTGTTTATAATGATGACTGAACGACAACACCACTTACTTGTATTTCAGTCCCGTGGCCCCTTCAAATTGAGACTGTACCACAGAAAGCATAAGAGTCCCATCTGGTTCTGTAGGCAATTCAACAACATGAGACTGCTCTCCTTCTTTCTCTTCCTTGCTAACTATAACGTATCCACTCATAATGGCGGCCCTTCTCTTACAAGATCACGTGATCGTGCATTAATTAGAATAAAAATCATCATGTGATAAGACAGTCCCACCCATAGTGCACTGAGTATCCTGTCCGCCTCTTTGAGCTGAACTTTTCTTAAAACTGTAAGGCAATTCATTTTTTGCTGTATGTATACTTTGCCATTCCTTTTTTATAGAATAGCCTTTGTTTTCAACTAAGAGTCATGTGAGTTTATGCACTTTCCTTGAACATTTTTGAAATGTCATCTTTTCTGTTGTTTATTGGGTTATTTGGGTATATATATATGGTATGCACATGTATTTACGAAGCACCTACTGCCTCACATCTGTAACTTCAACCCTGAACTTGTATGATGGGGAATGTCAACCAGATGTAGTCTCATTTAGCTAGACCACACCTTCCATGGTCTGGCTATGCATTACTAACCTAGACCAGTATGGTTAGGATAGCTTCAATTTTTTCAGGACTAATGTTTTTATTACATGGCATTGATTAATAATTTTGTTGTTATACTTTACAGCTATCATCTCTTTTAGTTTAACTAGTTATATCTACACTGTTTGTAATTTGTATCTTTCTGATAATATTTTGTACATGTACTTTCAATTGCATAAAGGATATAGGATAGGATTTTCTGTCAATCTTGTCATGTTATGTCTACGTACATCATACTTGTACATAATAGTCTTGTACCTTTAATTTGTATCTACTGACTACTGATATACATTACTGTACCTGTAGATGATAATACCATTAAGTTTCTTGTATGCAGTGATTTGTAATCTTATTTAATATTGGGGAAATTTGGCAGCCTTGATTCTATGATGACTTGATTAGTTGTTTATCATTGGTGTGTGTAGTGGCAATTTTGTAGCCACATGTCATCCATGGATGATACTTAGCCTCAGAATGATGTAAAGTGACAGTTTTTGGCATTAGTTTTCTGATCTCTATTTTCTTGCTATAATATAGTAGTGTACATCATGCATGTACGTGTATTTTGTTATTGTTATTCTGTAATTACATGATGGGATTCCTTTATGCTACTTTGTTCATGATTGTAATATACATTGTAGTAATTGTACATGTACATGTAGATGTGCAATGTGCATGTATAGCACTTGCAATCACTTTTTAATAGAGTAACACCAAATCCACATACATGTGTACATGTAGTGACAAAAATTGTTTCAACATGTCAGTTTTATGTAGAGGCTCCTCTGTAAATCTTACATGTACATGTACATGTATCATTATGTGTAATTCCATGTACATGCATGTACAGTATATTGTAGACCTGAAGTACATTACTTTTTAAAATTTGTAGTAACTTCTACACTAAACCCAACCCTATAGAGCATTTTTAGGTATTTTTATTTTGAGGATACAGTTATTTGTGAATGACCATCCTGCGGTACGTGAAATTCATTTTTTGAAAGTTTTTTACTAAATAAAATTAATGCCATCTCCTAGAACTTTTTGGAATTTAATTTTTATGACTTGTAATAATCAGAATTCACGAAATTTAATCTTATGCCTAAACACAGCCTTGCCGTATAAAGCATGCAATACATGTATATCACAATGCTTGTTAGCTTATTGTTGGGCTGTGTACAAGTGCTTCTTGTGTGTTGTATGCAGTCATGTACTAGTGCATTTTGTGCTTTGATGCCTGTATTTTCTGACTAAAATGAATGAACAACAACCATGCATGCGGGATGATCTATTTCAAAAGAGGTGTGCTTGTTATTTTTTGTTATTTTATTGTTATTTTTTAATGTTATTTGTGACCATAATTGACAAAAGGTACTTTTTCGCAGATAGTAAAATTTGTCTTAATAGCAAAAAAATCCAACTTCCTGAGCTCCTTTGATCATAAAATTACTCCAGAGGATGCAAAAAGTTAACATGTACATGTAACTTCTAGAAACAATAGTTGTCTAACTGAGCACTCTAGGTTGATATTTTTCATTGTAATGATGAATTTAAAAATTTGCCATTAGGTACCTTTTGTCAATTATGGTCACATTTTTTGTTCATGTTTTGTTTTAGCGACAAGCTAGAGTACATACAGTATATGCTCGTACATGTACATGTTATGATAAAATTATTTGTAAGATTGTTGCTACCACCTTGAATGCAAACATTGTAGCTGCATGAGTGGCTACTTACATTGATACTTATAGACTTTCTCTTTACCTTCTAATGCTTTTAGATGATCTTTACATAGTATTTCAGTGTTATCTTGCTGAACATAATTTTTGTCCCTTTTGTAAGCCACTATTTTGTTTCCCCTGGCCACTCCTACTTTATGTACATAAGTGGGTTGGTTGCTAAGGTATATTAATTGTATGTCTCCAATAAATATTAAATACATGTGCACCTGTTTAGTACCTTGCATGTACTGTACATGCATGTACATGTGTGTACATCACATTGTAGGTGAACGAAATCTTAGCAATGACCTGGGACCATAGAAATTATTTGTCAAAAATTTCTTTTTAGTGAACCTTACTATTTATATTAGAAGTAATCTAGCTGTTACATTTAACCTACTAATACTCATGTATTGTTTCAGCACTGCAAGTGCATGCATAGAGTAAACAATACCATTTTAAGTACAATTTAATTATGCAATATAAATGCAACCATACTACTGTACTTGTTTCACGTACATACATACATGTATGTAATAATTTATTTTTATTAAAAGCACTTTTGTTACATGTAAAGGGCTCCATCTTTTAAATATTCTACCATACATTTGGAAATTTATGCGGCAGAAAAATTTTGCTTTAGAAAAGAGTGCCATATAATTTAATTTTTACTTATTAAGATTTTGACATGTACATATGCATCTACATGTATTATTGAATTTGGCATAACATCATAATCCAGTAAATTTAAAGTCACAGTAAAATTTTCCAGATGACTATTTTTTGAAGCTTGGTTGATAGAAACAATTGCAATTAAGATAAAAATGCACCGTATAGTGCTTTATTTTGGCAATTTTTCTGTACAACTGTAATTGTTGGTTTTTAATTTGGCAATTTTTGATATGCTCATGCATTACTGAGCGTGCTTATTAATGATTGGCGGTTTTATTATTGGTAATTCCACCTGAAAACTGCCAATTGCCAAAATAAAACTCTACCAAATTTATGCATGCAACGATCGAATGATCCCTTTTCCTGTACTTCAATACTTGTACATGTACTTCACACCCACTCATAATGTCCATATAGTGAGTGTTGTATTAGCGGCTTAACCTTTTTTAGCCAATGTGAAAAAGGATGTAGATGTATGACGTCAACTGTTATGTATTGATTTTGAAAGGATGTGTATATGAGATATTGCATTTGAAGTGAATACAAGAGGAAGCAGCAATTATTTTGTTTTTTTCTTATCATGAGAATGTTTTTCCCACATGAAGGAACCTCTACATATTGTATTATAATTCAATTAGCAATTAAGTGTCCATGCAGTGATCATCTTCTTCCTAGAATGAGATGCTGGTTACATTAGACATTCCTTACATGCAGTCTCTTTATTCATTAGAATTACAATGTACGTCTGTATTTTCCCTTTTGAAATGCATATAGTGTATATGCATGTACATGTACATTATGTACATGTATACTTTTGCGTATATATGTACATGTAATTCATTTTTACTGACTCATTTGAATTTTGACTTTGCAGTAATACTGCAGTATAATATGATAAATTATGTACATACATGTATATGCACATTTAGGTCGTATGGTACTGCAGGGGAAGATCGGGTGGATCAGCTCAGGGGGCAGGTTGACCAGGTCAGTTAATGATTATTCGCTAGAAGTATCATCAATGTTGCAACTGCATTTAATCAATTACATGTACATGTGCCAATTTTTGCTAATAGCTTCATGTATGCAATAAGTTGATTTTTAGCTTTGCAATTTATGCACCTCTATTTGGCTGCCAAGGCTTCATAGAAAAGTAAAAATTTCCATTAAAAGTTTGACCACGAAATTTTTATACATATAAAGCACATGTTTAGCCTTCTAAAGTGTATTTATGCATGCCATGGTGCATCAGGTACAATATAATTTATAATTTTATGTACATGTATAATTTTATGTGCATGTACATGTAAGCTACAACATCTTTACACTTACATGTACATGTACATGTAAATAGGAGTGCTATATCATTGCATGTACATGTAATGGCCGGTTTACATGTACATGTATATGTAAGTGTTAATATGATGACAGACTACTATCACTCATTGCTGGGTGATAGTAGTAATATTACTATCATGATATTTACTAAGAATAGTGAACAACTGAAGATATTACGATAGTGTGGCCATACAGTGTAGTGTTTATGTGTGGAAATATAATAATTTATTAGCCATACAGTTTAGTGTTTTTGTGTAGAAATACAATAATTTATTCATTGAGCTTATCAATGCATGTAAAATTTGTAAAAATCATACTAGTTAATTTATTTATTCCAAATATTTAACAAGAAACACTGTCCTGCTACATGTATACTGACAACATGTTCACATCTACTGATGTAGCAGGGACAGTGTCTTTAGAGCGACCTTTAACCTCTATGTCTGCCACTATGGCTACAGTCGAAATCTTAATAATGTATGCACATGTACATCTAGCATGAAGATCTCATTACTTGTTTGCAGTATTTACTTTAAAGTGTTTATTGTGACTTGCATACATGTATATATGTTAATGTAGGTCAAAGGTGTTATGCGCTCCAATATCAATAAAGTAGCTGAAAGAGGTGAAAAACTTGAAGATATTGGAGAAAGAGCAGGTAATATTGATAAAATTGTTTCATAGAATGTGATGTGCAAGCACATGTACATTACCTTCCATGTACGATTCTATTAGACGAAAAATTCTCCAACTGTTAGCATAGTAGCATTTACACGTACAGAAATTACCATGCAACTTTTAGCTTCATAATATTATACATGTACATGTATGTACATTAATGCATGTTGCAAACATATTTACATGTACATGTACAAGTATGCGTATCATTGTATGCTGTATATTTATTAGAAAGTAATGTGAATTAGGGACCCAATCCTTGTTAATATATTGACTAATTTTAAAACTGCATTTTTAGAATACCTTAATCAGAATGCTGACATGTTTCAAAGGACTGCCACAAGACTTAGACGGAAGCTATGGTGGCAAAATGTGAAGGTAAAGTACGCTGCATATTATTCTTTGTTCAAATTGGTATCTCTACACATGTAGCTGTGGATCATTTTGATTGTGATAATACTGATAATTTTATTGGCTATTATTAGTAAGTCATGTACATGTACATGTACACATATAGTCATCATATACAGTATATTATTAAATCATAACGACTCTAGTTTCCTAATTTAATACTTAAAGTACATGTATAATTTTAGGAATGTGAAGTGGAGCTAATGTACATGTACTTTAATTATTGAGCATGTCAAGCACTAATTTTTACAGAAACTCCTTCATTGATTTATAGTAATGACGATAATATTTTCTCTTATTCATGTAGTTATCATTGTTATTGCTGTTGAAACAAACAAAAAATAATTGAAGATGAAGTATGGCTCAGAGTTTTGCCCCATGTACTAATTGTAATTACATGTACTTCTTTAAACTCTACTAAAACTTGTTTTATGTATTTGTTATTTTGTGTGTGCTGTATTTGTGAAGTGTTATAGAGATTGTCATTAAAAACAATTATAATTCATTATACTATTTGATAGTACTTGCGACTACTTGGTTTTCTTATCTTAGTCTCACCGTCATAGTGTCAAGAAAGGAATGGCTACAGTTGAATTATAGTCTAGCCATGTGAAGTTACTGTCTTGGGCTACATTAACCATAGATACATGTATTAGAGACTCCATATAGGATTGAGAGCTACATGTATATGTTATGTAACTAGGCTGTTGAGCCTTGTCTTAAGTCAGCTAGCCAAGGGTAACAAATTTTTTAGATAATATGATATAAATCTAAAATTTTAATTTTGGTCTGGGACTTCGGGTAGGTCCAGCCAGTCTGCGTTTGAGAACATTTATCCCAGCAAAAAATCTGGTTTAATACATAAAAAATTTGAGTAGAAGCCCAATTTTCCTGAGGGGTAAAACTCTCCTACTGTAATAGCTTCCAGCAATTTCAGCAAGTATTGATTATGATCCATTGCTAAGTAAAATATCTCTTGAAATTATTATTATAAAAAATCAAACTGCAGACTGAAAATGTTGAATATTCAAATTAATTTTGTGACATTTTGACAAGTACATAAGGCGTAGGTGGAAGACGTGGAACACGTGCCTTTTAATAATAGCTAATAACTTTTAGTCAAATATGCGCATGCTCCAAACTCTTCTCAACTCGTGGAGCAACGTGTTTTCTCGAAGACTATACAATTTAGAAATTGATACAACCATGAGTGGACGGTCTGGGATAGAAAATACATTAAGTAAAGATTCTTTTAAACCCTTTTCAGGTAAGCTGTATCTCAATTTTGTGATTCCCTTGTCAGATATATCGTGCAGTGTCTGAAGTTAAGGAATCTCAATGCAATGGGTCATGTAGTTAATGATATTCATTGAAAATTTCATGGTAACTGGGTGAAATTACCACGGCAAAGCTAAAGGGCATGCTTTTGCAAGGGGGTGTCACTTGTGTAAAGCCTGTAATTTCACTTGTGATCAGACGATCAAAATCTTTATCAGGAAGTATGCTGCTTAATTAGTCTCGTGCCCCGCCCCTTCGCTTTTGGAGGAAGGGTCTGGAGACACTCAAGGCTTTTTTGTTGCATGCTGGAATGTAATTAGTGCAGCTGATCATATGACCGGATGCATCCACGTGTTAATTTCATGTGATAGACACACCCCAAGAACATGGCTACCGGAAGTATGAAGAAGGAATCATAGCTAAAACTCATTTCAAATCAGTTTTTATCATTAATTTATTTGTTTTTCTTCATTCATCCTCTACTTATTAAATGCATTTTGCTATCAGATCAAAACAGTATGTTTAATAATGCAAAATTGACTAAAATTGTATAATAATATAATGATAGTAATAAGAATGCTACAAAGGCCATGGCTGTTAGAGACATCATTTGCAGATGAGGCAGAAGTAGTTCTTCATCTTCCATAAAAGTATGTACCCCTATAGCACTACAGATAATTATTAGACAACAATCATAAGTTAAGTGAACAGACCATTTCTTAACTCATTGCTCATCAATAGGTAAGCTCACTAGCTTTAGTCATTGACCGAGGACCAAGGAAGTTTTTCTGTTCCAGAACTTATTTTCCAGAGGACATAATGCAGTACAGAGCCACAGTAGTGATTGACACTTTGTTTGCCACTAAATCCTGTCAGCAGGCACAAGAAACTATCCTAATCATCAATAACAGACTTTGTGATGCTCATTTCTGTTCCTCCTTTACTTCTCTTTGAACC